GAAACGTCGTATGATTTGGTAGATATTTTTCCCATTGAAGATCGGAAGACCGCTCTTCGTGAGGTGTTCTTTTAATCCCTACCTTTCTATATTGATATTTAAAATGTAGATATTAACATTCTCCTTTATTAACTAAGATTTAATATTTCTTTTGTTTGGTTTTAGTCTATTGCAGAAATCAATTCCCATTTAGCTGAGGCTGAAACTACTGGAGGTATTTTCTTAAATATCTTAGAATTTGCTTGTACAGTTTTGTCTCACACATGAGTGAACCAAGTGCGCCCAATACATTTGGCATTTAACCGTCACCCCTTTGCATTGGAGTCATTTTCCAACGGTTATTTTTTACTCTGTTCATGTTTCTATTGCGGTAACTGATTCAGTATCAGATATTGAAAATACTTTCAATATTATTCCAGGAATCTGTTTTCCAATGGGCAGAGGAGTTTATCGTGTTGTTAATATTCCTGAAGACGAGTATGTTCTTTTGAATTCTAGGGAAAAGGTGCCTTATATGATATGTGTGGAAGTTTTGAAAGCAGAAACACCCAGGTAGATATAAAAGTCAGAATTTAAAATTAATCTACTGCTTTTCGTTTTAGAATTTACTTTCTTACCTTCTAAGTTCTAATTATACTTTAAAGGGTTTCTTGGTAACCCTCTCTCACTGTTCTTAATTTCTTATTGTCTTCTGAAACTTTTGTAGTGGTGCTAAAACCGCATCTACTTCCCTTAAGCTTTCTAAAGGAGGCATTCCATTGGCAAACGGGGATGCATTCTTGCAAAAGCCACCTCCATGGGCTTATCCGCTATCTACTGCTCAGGAGGTTTACCGTAACAGTGCAGACCGAATGTCATTATCAACTGTTGAAGCAATTGATCAAGCAATGACTCATAAGTCTGAGGTAAAACTTGTGAATGCAAGTCTCTCGGTCGAGAAGCATAGTAATTCCATTACCAAATCAGTAAGCAGTGGTGTGACTGGTGTCCTGAGGACTGGTCTGGAAAGCGATCTTGAGTGGGTTAGGGTGGTGCTGACAGCTGATCCAGGTCTTAGAATGGAAAGCATTGCTGATCCGAGAACCCCACGTCGAAAGGAACATCGTCGTGTTCCAAGTATAGTTGCCTACGAGGAAGTAAGGGTGAGTGTTTCTTGATAGATAACTTGTAGAAGGCAAGTACCTGGTTTTTTCTCTAGTATTCCGTTTCTCCTTTGAGTTACTGAAAAACGCTGACACTCATTGAGTAGCGTTTCTGCATCACCTAGTATGTGATTCCTAACATTACCAAACAGATCATTCACCTAAACAGTCATCTTAATTTGGATAAGCAATATCAGCTGTAAAAGTGCGTGTATCCTGCTTGATGTCATTATTCCTAAATCAACTCCCTTGTTCAGGCTGCTGCAGCGAAGGGAGAGGCACCTCCAGGTCTTCCTCTCAAAGGGGCTGGTCAGGATTCATCAGATGCACAGCCAATGGTGATTGCATGTTGATTATAGAAATAGGATATTCCTTTAATTTTTTTGTCTTATAGATGTTGAACCTTTTTTTTTGTGGCTCACCAGGCCAATGGTGGAATGCTGAAAGCAGGTGATGCCTTATCTGGTGAATTTTGGGAGGGGAAGCGACTAAGAATTCGTAAAGATTCAATATATGGCAACCTACCAGGTTGGGACTTGCGCTCTGTAAGTACTGGATAAAGCAATCCTCCTTATCTTCCGCTGGCGTTTCCTTGTAGAGTATATTTCTCCACTTGAACATCTCGTGTAGCGATAAATAAAATACATAATGGTATTTCTTGTCAGATAGATGGTTGCGTATCTCTACTTAAAAGTTCAAATTTTATCAACTGTGAAAATACATGAAGTTTTTTTACATTCATTCCATTGTATATAGCTTCTTTTTTTTTTCCTCGTGTGAAACTGCAAAGTTTAGACATCAAGCAATTACTGATGCTTTGAGTCTTTGACAATTCATTGAGAGGCTCTGCTTTTGATAAGCTTCTGTTTTTAATTTCTTTCCAGCTGCATGTAAAAGTTGGTTTATACTTGTTGACATTGAAAGTTGTTGTCTAGGAATTTCTGATTGCTTATAATACACTATATTAAAACTATTAAAACAACACTAAGAAACTGTTATTTTTGTTGTTTGACCTATTATTCCAATTCTTTTTGGCTCTTGCAGATCATTGTGAAAAGCGGTGATGACTGTCGGCAGGAACATCTTGCGGTTCAACTCATATCTCACTTTTTTGGTAGGTGATATTTTGTTTATCTACCATATGCCTGTTAATTTCATAGTTCTTGGGCTTAGCTTCTCAAGCTATGCTTTTTATATCGTTCTCTTTTATTCTCTATCCTGTCATCTTATATAAGCATATGTGTGTATATAAACACATTTTTGCGTTATATAGTTGATAAACAGTCTTGTTCATGTGCTAGATATATTCCAGGAAGCAGGGCTTCCCCTCTGGTTACGTCCTTATGAAGTCTTGGTGACATCTTCATACACTGCCCTTATAGAAACAATTCCAGATACGGTAATTTTGCTACTTTATTCAGTATACAGCAACCGATCTTATTTTTATCTTGGAAAGCGCATGTTATAGTATCTCCTTTCTCTCCTGCAGGCTTCTATTCATTCTATTAAAAGCAGATACCCTTACATCACAAGCCTGCGTGATTTTTTTGATGCTAAGTTTAAGGAGAACTCCCCAAGTTTTAAGCTTGCTCAGGTAATGTATTCTCCAGGTACATTTTATGGTTTTATGGCTCAAGTCCACAAGCAAGTTGGCTGTTTTTTTTCAGAAACTTATTGACGGCAATCTGTTAAACATGCTGTTGTGTAAATGAGAGGTGTGGATTGTGGAATATACGAAAATGTTTCCTCCCAAAATTTGTTCAATGGAGAACCCAATTTTGTTCATTCATACTGGAGCCTTTTCTAAAAATGAGGAACATAGAGCTTGATAAGTCTTATTTTTTATTTCCCTTTTATGCAGCAGGGTTTTCATAAAGTTTACAAATATGGTTTATCATATGAAATTTAGCTGCATCAAAGTCTTCTGCATGCATCAATTAGAAGTGTGTCTATAATTCTAAATTGTGTGAGATGCCACACCGTGTATAATTTTCAAATGTCTTCTCTTGCAGAGGAATTTTGTTGAGAGCATGGCTGGATATTCTTTGGTCTGTTACCTTCTGCAGGTAGGTTTGTCTTTTATAACTGCATCTCTCAGGGTTGTGTATTCATATATGTGGGCATATAAGTGCTTTGAAACAAGAACGAAAGGAATCTATGAGTTTGGCACTCTGCTGGTGTTCATAAGTTTCATCATGGCTTGCTCTTAGTTTTATGGCTTGTGATGTCCATTATTTGATTGTCTGCTCGTTCAGATAAAAGACCGTCATAACGGAAACCTTCTGATGGATGAAGAAGGTCACATTATACACATTGATTTCGGCTTTATGCTTTCAAATTCTCCTGGTGGCGTGAACTTTGAGAGTGCCCCATTTAAGCTAACTCGGGAACTTCTTGAGGTTAGAAGCATGTTCTTATTATATCTTCTCGCCTCTTTGAAGTAGCTAAAATTACTTCCATTTAACTATATACTCGAAAACACTTGCACATCTAGGTCATGGATTCTGATGCTGAGGGGGTTCCAAGCGAGTTCTTTGACTATTTCAAGGTATCAATGAGGCTCTTTCGTTTGCTCTCCTCCAAGTCACTTATAAGGCTCTATTTTTCCCCATCTGTAGCTATTATTAAGTACCTCTAGTGGTCAACTGTTTTAGGTGCTATGCATCCAAGGATTCCTAACATGTAGAAAGCATGCTGAACGGATTATTCTTCTCGTCGAAATGTTACAGGTATCATGATTAAAAGCATCTTAGAAGCAAGACAGCTATTATGGTTAATAAAGTAACAGAATCATTTCCCGGCTGAATAATGTGCGGTTTTTTCTCAGGATTCAGGTTTTCCTTGCTTCAAAGGTGGTCCACGCACCATTCAGAATCTAAGAAAAAGGTTCCATCTAAGTTTAACCGAAGAGGTAAGTTACTTGTCTCCCCTTTTATTCCACCAATTTCATCAGCACCGTTCTTAGGATTATATCTCCAATCACAACTGTTTCTTTTTGTTCATAAGCAGCAATGCGTCTCTTTGGTGCTCTCTCTAATCAGCAGCAGCTTAGATGCTTGGCGAACTCGACAATACGATTACTACCAAAGGGTGTTGAATGGAATACTATGATGTTAATTTACTTACAAAAGTTTGAGATCTCATCAGTGAATCAACGTGATGAGAGACTAAACAGGTATACTATGGTTGTGTTGTTCTCCATGTCCATTGCATGTGAAGAACCTTTATCACAACTTTAGTATCAAAGACATTCGAGCTTCAAAGAGCTCTTGAGGAAATCAATTACACGAAGAGAAAGAGAGACATTGTGTGACCAAAAACACTTTTGTACATAGGATAGTTTCTTTTTTTGCAGAGGTTTTGATTCTTATATTCTTGTCTATAAAGGAGCAGGCAAAGCCAAAAGTTAATTCATTTTCTTAAACCATCTTACCATACTGTTAGATGAAACAATTGTTTTTTTGTATTTGTATTTGTGATGATGTGAAAATCAAAGGTTGTATAATGGGTATTTTTTGGTTCATCTCAAGTAACAATTTGCTTTGAAAAACAAACAAAATATTCTTCAGAGATTTTGTATATAAGAAACGTTTTTTTTGTTTTTTTTTTTTAAGTTGAATATGAGTTACGAGTTACTATGAGTTAGTAGTAAAAATTTAGTGAAAAAATCAGGGAAAAATAATTAGGCCTGCCTCGATATGAACATTTAACACTGTTTTTAGTCCGTCAAAAAAAAAAATAACACTGTTTTTAGTAGGCTTTTGAATGAAAATGGGCCCAACAGTGTAAGCAAACGCGTGTAAGGTCTGGGAGCTAAATCCTATATAAACCCTAAGACCGCAGCCCTTGACTCAGTTCTGGCTTATCCTTCACGCCACTCTCTAAATCCCTCTCGCTCTCCTCCCCCTTTGCGACGATCGTCCTTTCCCACTGTCGAGTTTTTCTCTCTCTCCGGGTACGACTTTTTCTCTCTGTTTCTCATCCTACGCCGCGATGTTGTGGATGGTGATTTTGTGTGTTCCGATCTAGTCTTAGGTTTTCCTTTTTTAATTCCTGAAATGGGTTTTTGATTTTCTGTCTCTTTCTTGTGATTCTCCGATTCATTTTTTAGGGTTTTACTAGAGTTTTTATTTATTGTAGTGTGGTTTCTAGTTGGTCGGGTAGTTCAATTTTCTTCTTTTTGGTTTGTTTCAATGTCTCAATAGCAGGCTTTACGTTGCACACCAGATGTCTGTTGATCTCTGCAAGAAGAATCCATCTTTTCTTTGGTGTGACTGTGGTTATATGAGCAGGGGGAGGTTGTGGTGTTTTCAGATAATCCTCTTCAGGCACTGGACTTGACTTGTCTTCAACTCGTCGACTTCTCTCTTCTTTTCTTTTTTTCTGTTTACTTTGATCAAAGGGTTTTCGTTTCTGTTGCTCCTGTTTACTGTGAATTTGAAGACTAAGTTTTCTGTGCAAAACTCTCACTTTACTGGTGAGGAGTTTACGGAAGATTGTTCAAAGTTTTCCCCTTTGGATTCGCCAATGGGGAAAACTCAACTCGCTCCTGGATTTCGTTTCCATCCGACTGATGTTGAACTCGTGAGATATTACTTGAAGAGGAAAGTACTGGGGAAAAAGCTCCTTGTTGATGCTATTGCTGAAGTTGACATTTACAAGTTTGAACCCCCTGATTTGCCTGGTATCCATTTTAAAACATTCTTGTTCTGTTAACGGAATTTTCATGTGTTTGCAGCTAACTGGAGACTTCTTCTCTACAGATATGTCCTTTATAAGAAGTGGGGATCTTAAGTGGCACTTCTTCTGCCCGAGGGAAAAGAAGTATGCCAGTGGGGTTAGGGCAAACCGTGCAACTGAGTGTGGTTACTGGAAGACCACAGGGAAGGAGAGACCCGTTCTGTGCAATTCTGAAGTTGTGGGAAAGATCAAAACTCTGGTTTATCACTTTGGTAAGTCGCCTCGTGGGGAGCGGACTGATTGGGTTATGCATGAATATAGGCTTGAAGACAAGGTACTGACGCAGATGAATGTTCCTCAGGTAATATATACTACTAGTTAATAATGGCAATATGATTTCAACTTGAACTGGTGTTTAGGTTTTAGAGTATTTACTGATGATGGCTTGCTGTTTTCTTTGTTCTTTAATTGCTCTGATATTGTGTCGGGGTGTGGCAGTTCTGATTTTCATCGAACCTTATAACTGCCTGCAACTTTTCCCTTCTTCCACTAGTATATTGTTTCCTACTTGTTTAGTTTTCTAGATTATTATGTATCTTCCATGTCATGTAAGCTTATATCACTCTCTCTTTACTTACAATTATTATGTTTTGGACTCCAGGATACTTATGTGGTGTGTGTTCTGTTCAAGAAAGATGGCCCTGGACCTAGAAATGGAGCTCAATATGGAGCTCCATTTAGGGAAGAGGACTGGAGTGATGAGGAAGTACGTACTGATGTTCCTTCTACTAGTAATCCCACAAACCTTCTTGAGCCTAGCAAAGAAACCACTCTGGCTTTGACTGCCCCAGATGACTCCAATAAGGATTGTTTTGGTGGCATGATATCAGAATCATGCGTCTCCGATTTCCTACCAGCTACAACTAATACCACCAGCAAGCTTCCACATCCAAGTGATGCAGCTAACACTCCTATGTCTACTGCACCTCTGGCAGAGACCCTTCAGACCCCCAACAATGATGACTTATATTCAATGTTGGATCTATTTGATGATGACGAAGAATTCTTAGGGTTCAACAATAATGAGGTAGGTTTTTTGGCATTCTTCTTCTTTGGCTGTAATGATTACAAACCGGTTGCTCTTAAGCTAGAAAGGCTACTTTGAAGCTGTTAGGTGTTTTAGTGGCATTGAAACGTAGTACCCATTAGACAAAGCTTCTTTGCTATATTTTTGATCTTGTTCCTCAAAATCAATTTGTGCTGTTTTGTATCTGCGTATACAGTCTCATAGTTACAATCAATCTACAGGTAAGACATGATCCCGGTGTCTCAGCTCCAGTTTGCTTAGAAGAAGAAGGCATTTTCAACGGATTACCAGAGTTGAGCAACATGCCAAGGACGGCCTCTTACGACCTAATTGAAAACTCGGAGTTATACCTAGAGCTACAAGATCTCACTGCTCCATTAAATCCTCATATTGGGCTACAAGACCTAAGTGCTCCATTGAATCCTCAAACTGGGATGCAAGACCTCACTGCCCCATTATATCCTCCAACTGGGAATCTCAATGACCCGAGAAGCTCCTCCTATCTGTATAATCAAGGCCACTTTGACTTCTCTGCTGCTAATGATGATGATCCTTATGGCTTTTCTGCTTCCGTGGGACATAGACCAAAAATGTAAAACGAGGAAGAGAAGAGTTGCAGGATTTACAAAACAACAACAGATGCAAATCAGACAGAAAAGAAGGAGGAGAACCATTGTTTCTTGTCTTTGAATTTATTAGTTACATCTTTTAATTTGTCGAAACTTCCCTATCAACTTTCTCTGTTTCATCCTTAGATTCTCGTACTTGTTTGAAATATTCTCAACATTTATTCTTGTCTCTATTTTGCTATGAATTATGTATATATTGGCTTCCGACTCATCATATCCTTTAAACTAAAGGATTTTTAAAAATGAATACTGAAAAAGACAAACTAATCAAGAAGAACAAAAAATCCAAGTAAAAATCCAGAATATAAGTAAATCCAGAATCCAAAATCGTACCAGATTCAGGATCAAAACAGCAAAAGTAGGGCTTAAATGGGAATGAATGGGCTTTAATTCGAAGCCTTTTTCGTTGGCCCAATCTTTTAGCTCTTTTTCCACAGCATCATCATCGATCTCGTGTATATAGAAAGCCGATTTTGATCTCTTTTCACTATAAAACCTTGCTGACACAAAATTCAATTTGCTCTTTTCCAATTTTGATCGTCGTCGATCGTACGGTGTCTGGGGGATTGATGGAGAACACGGACGTCGTCTCGGGTCTGCATAATTTCTTGAGTAAACCATCCGCCAAAGATTTCATCAAATCAATTAAAAGGTTCTCTCTCTCGCTTCTCTTCTTCGCTTCTCTTCTTCGCTCTTAGCGTAAGTAATGATACTTTTGTCGGTTATATATCTTACTGATTTTACATTGCTATCTAGTAGTTATGAATACTTTTGTCGGTTATGAGACAATGTCATTATGATCTTGTTAATTAGTTTGATGATTTGCTATACACTTGGAGCAGATTTTTTTTGTGATGGAAATACCACATTCCACTGTGTTTTTTAGTTGTGTAAGTTTTTTGATGTTTGCAGTTTCATTGTTTCGATCTTGAACACTGCACCAGACCCTGAAAAAGATTGTGATGCAGTTCAGGAATTCTTTTCCAAGATGGAGTCTGCTTTCAGGGCTCATCCACTTTGGTCTGGTTGTTCCGCTGATGAGTTACACAATGCAGGAGATGTCAGTATTCTTTTTTCTGACTATATAATCTCTCATGATTATGTATAATCTCTCCTGACTTAATCATGTATAAACAGGGACTGGAGAAGTATGTCATGACAAAGTTATTTCCCCGGGTTTTTGCATCAAACACCGAGGATGTTATATCGGATGAGAAACTCTTTCACAAGATGTCATTATTTCAACTATTCATATCTCCTGAAAACTTGGATATACAACCAACTTTTCAAAACCAAACATCATGGCTCGTAAGTCCACATTTAGCTCTCGAGATAGTGTAGCTTATATTCTTATAATGGTTCTTACTTGTGATGTTTTTTCTCTTCTTTTACGGCAGCTAGCTCAAAAAGAGCTCCAGAAGATAAATATGTACAATGCTCCTCGTGATAAGCTTATGTGTATCCTTAGGTGCTGCAAAGTCATTAACAACTTACTTCTAAATGCTTCAATTGCTTCAAACGAGAATGCACCTGGAGCCGACCAATTTCTTCCTGTTCTCATATATGTTACCATTAAGGTATGTTGTCAAGGATTGAAAAATTTATGCAAGCTAACTTCTGATGTCTTATGTGTATACTCATGCTTGGTTTGTGAAACTAACATTATTAACTTTGTTTACTTCCAGGCTAACCCTCCCCAATTTCACTCAAACTTGTTGTATATACAAAGATATAGGCGTCAATCTAAACTTGTTGGTGAAGCTGCCTACTTGTTCACAAATATACTCTCTGCAGAGTCATTCATCTCAAATATTGATGCAGAATCCCTCTCAATGGATGAAGCTGACTTTGAAAATAAAATGAAATCTGCACGGGCACGTCTTTCTGGTCTCGGAAGCCAGTCTTATCAAAATGATCACGACGCTGCACTCACTGCTCATAATCCTAAGAGGGAAAACACGCTTCTGCATACAAAATCGTCTGATAGTCTCTCTGGTACCAATGAAACACCAATAAAGAAAGCCGAATCCATTACCGATTTGGAAAATAAGGGCGCTTCTACGCTTTCGAAGGATAGAAGTGAGGCAACCAAAATCTTTCAAGAATATCCTTACATGTTTGCCAGTGTTGGTGATTTAAAGATAGGATATGTTGAAGACTTGCTAAATAGTTATAAACAGCTCGTTTTCAAATATGTTTGCCTTTCCAAAGGCTTGGGTGATGCAAAATCTTTAGCTCCATCTATTTCACCATTACAAGCGTCTAAAGACTCTGACAATCATACAACATTGTCTTCAGATGTTCAAACGAAAAGCGAAACTGACAGTAGCGTTGATGATTTGTTCCGGGCTCTACAAGGTGAGGGAGACAATGTTCGTAAGTTCTCAGATGTAAAACAATAATCAGACTTTATCTTTTACTAATATATTCGGATTTGGTTCTTGAATGCTACATGTAAATTTTACATTTCTTGATCACATTTGTTTTCTTTGTTTTGTGATCAAGGGAGATGACTTCATGAATTAATTGAAATACCAACCGGTCTTATCTGAGAACCGGTTAAGGGTTCAGTAACGGGAAAAGGGGATTTTCATACCCGTACTATCGGGACCGTGGATTTTTATACCTCGACATTTTTGTAGTGTATTTTCCAACCCAAACTGAAATAAAATTTGAATTTCATATCTGTATTTGATAAATCGTGCAAAAAACGGAGTCAATCTAACGGGTATTAGTTAACTCCGTTACGATGCTGAGTCATCGTACGACGTCGTTTTGATAATTGTTCTCAAAAGTTTGATTTTTTTGCAAAATCGGGGATTTGAACCCGTGTCCCTTGGCCCAACATCGAGCACCTTTACCAATTCATCCCACAACTCTAATCGAACATTGCCCAATCATTTTAAGTTATAAACCTTAATAGTTGTGTGTTTGGAAATAAACCAAACGACGTCGTTTTCAATTGGGAAAAAAATAAGAATTCTAGGGTTGCGAATTGGGGGAAAATTCACCGGACGATTCGCCGTCGAGAACATGAGACACAAGAGGCTTAAGAGCTGGGCTGCTTGATATACGTGGCATTTTCTCATTGGTTGCGACGGGTTGTTCGTTATTAATCAGAAACGACGAGTTTGTTCTGCCGTTGAAACTCCGGCTACCGAAACACGAGAACCTCGCCGCTCTCTCTGCGAATCCCGGATCGCCGGCAAATTCTGTTATCGGCGTCGTCGTTTTCGTCACCATCATACGTCTAGCGTTGGAGAGCTCATCGGAGTTGCGTAACACAAACTAGTGACGTTTCCGTTGCTCGCCGGAGTTCCATAGATGTCGCCGATGTTACTTAATCTCCCGATTGAAAACGACGTTTGGTTTATTTCCAAACACACAACTATTAAGGTTTATAACTTAAAATGATTGGAGTATGTTTGATTAGAGTTGTGGGATGAATTGGTAAAGGTGTTTGATGTTGGGCCAAGGGACACGGGTCGAATCCCTGATTTTGCAAAAAATTTAAACTTTTGAGAACAATTATCAAAACGACATCGTATGGGATATACGTCAACGTACATGTGTACGATGACTCAGCATCGTAACAGAGTTGACTAACACCCGTTAGATTGACTCCATTTTTTGCACGATTTATCAAATACAGGTATGAAATTCAAATTTTATTTCAGTTTGGGTTGGAAAATACACTACAAAAATGTCGAGGTATAAAAATTCACGGTCCCGATAGTGCGTGTATGAAAATCCCCTTTTCCCGTTCAGTAGCACTGAGTGAAACCAAAATAAGCCAAAAGGGTATTATCGTAGTTTCGTCTTATTTCTTGCCCCTTTGTCGCACCACACAGAGACTGACAGAGCCGAACGGCGAATATGGAAGGGATTGGACTGCGAAGTTGCGGACAGGATATTCTCCGTCTCGGATTTAAATTACGCGGTGGTATCGGCGGCCGGATTCCGATTCTCCGGCGAGCTATGGGAATAAAGATGAGAGACCGTAGCAAGAACAGGAAACCATTGCAGAGAGGTCGAATGCTCAGTATCGAAGCGATTCAAGCGGTTCAAGCCCTGAAGCGAGCTAATCCTCTTCTTCCTCCTCCTTCTCCTTCTTCTTCCTCAGCTCTGGTTGATCGTGTAATCATCTCCAAATTCCGTCGGCTCTTGAAATTCGATATGGTCGCCGTTCTCAGAGAACTTCTACGCCAAAACGAGTGCTCTCTAGCTCTCAAGGTTCGTCTCTATCTCTCTCTCTCTCTCGCTCTCTTTCCATCATGTTTTAGCTGTGTTTCTATCTTAATTTTGGAATCGTTTTAGGTTTTTGAAGAGATTCGAAAGGAGTATTGGTACAAGCCTCAGGTGAGAATGTACACAGATATGATCACTGTAATGGCGGATAATAGTTTGATGGAAGAGGTCAATTATCTTTACTCAGCTATGAAATCAGAAAAGGGTTTAATGGCTGACATTGAATGGTTCAACACTCTCTTGACGATTCTTTTGAATCATAAGCTGTTTGATCTTGTCATGGATTGTTATGCCTTTATGCAATCTATTGGCTATGAGCCTGATAGAGCCTCCTTTAGGATTCTAGTCTTAGGCCTTGAATCAAATGGTGAAATGAGTTTATCCGCTATTGTTAGGAAAGATGCTCATGAGTATTACGGTGAATCACTCGAGTTTATCGAAGAAGAGGAAGAAATCTCTAGTGGGACTGGTGTGTTGATCTAACAATGGAGCAAAAACGTTGAGAGATTGGAGCTCTTCATGCTTCTATGTTCAGTCGAGCTCGAGGTTTGATCATATCGTATACTAATACCTTCCGAGTATGCCGGATGAGATGATGCGTTGATTCTAGTATCTAAGGTTAGCCAAACCATATCATGTAGGCTTGTAACATAGAAATGTTACCGAGTATGCGAGTTTTGATTGCCTGAACTAGGATCTGTTCCAAGTCACTCAAGTCACCATGTCTATGGAGACATTTATAGCTTCAAATTCCATCACAATTGGAGTTTTGTTATTTGTAAACCTCTTGTTGATGTTATAAGTACACTTTTGAGTATTCAAATATTTAAGCTTGAAGTACCACAAGACAGAAGTTCATTAATTTCATCTTATTTATAAACAAGTTGAGGAATTTGCGGATATTTTCTAATTTCTATGAAAGAACTAGACTCAGTGGTACATTGAAACGACGTCGTTACATCGTTGTGTTCAACTAAAAAAATCGTTTCAACTTTCTTTATTCGTGAGTTATTCAATTTTTCTCTAGTGGCTGAGCAAAATGGAGGCTTCACGGAGCGACGACCCAAATCTGAACCCTATACGCAATCGGAATCCGAATCCAACTCCGGCTCCGAACCCATTGTCGACAATAATCTCGTCGGCGCAGGTTTGGCCAACCATCGACGGTCCGTTGGGGTTAACGGAGGAAGCATCGGTGGATTACGCTCGTCGATTCTACAAGTTCGGTTTCGCTCTCTTGCCCTGGCTTTGGTTTGTCAATTGCTTCTACTTCTGGCCTGTTCTCCGTCATTCTCGGGCTTTCCCTCAAATCCGCAATTGTAAGTTTTCAGATTATTACAGATACCTTTTTGATTTTGTTTTTCCACCGATCTTCGTATCCGGGGAATTTGGGAATGTTAGATTGGAATCTTTTGATCTGGCATTAGATCCTATGAAATCGTACAATCTTGCTGGCATTTACTGTTTCAATAGCGTAATAATGGCTATGAGTGTTGTCTTGACAGTCTTAAACCTTGTGGTTATTGATTTGCAAGTATCATAATCGAACTACTTTGATGCACGGATACATGATAGGTCTGTTGGAGTTATAAGATTTACCGTCTGAGAATTGTCTATTGGCTTATTCAGGTTCAAATCATATGAACTTTTCACATTTAGTGTGTAGATGACCATTATAATTTATAGGAAGCAATCAATAGAATAAGTTAATGGGGAGTGTCTAATAATCCAGTGGCTAATGTGATGTTCTATCATCTATGATGATTATACATTGAGTTATGTCGTTACTTCTGATTTAAGAAGATTTAGAATTTTAAACTTTTGTATCTCTTTCTCAGATATGAAACATGTACATTATCCTCTCTTACACCTTTGAAATCCTCTGCTGATGCAGATGTTGTCCGGTCAGCAATTGGCTTCAGTGTCTTTACAGCTCTTCTTTCCGCGTGGGCATTGACGTTCTCGATAGGAGGAGAACAACTTTTTGGCCCTGTTTATGATAAGCTGGTTATGTACAACGTTGCTGATCGTCTCGGCTTGTCTGGCTTGGCTTAGCCCCCACAGCTTTGTCTCTCCCTCTTTGTTTATCTTTGACATAGTAGAAACTGGAAGATCTCATTGCCTTTACTTTTGCCTATTCCGTTCTCATGTATTTCTGCACAAGCATAAGTTGAGGAGATCCTGCTGTGAATATAACCTGCTTGGATATTCATTTATCAATGAAGTAATTAGTTGTCAAGAGTTGTTTCGTTTCTCTTGTTGTATCTGCCAAAATGTTATTTAGTTTGGTGCTCTGTTTCTAAACGTTGGATTTTGGCAAACTTAAGAAGTGTGAAGATATGGATGAGCTATATATATTATAGACGTATCTTAAGGGTTTGTAAGTACTTAGTAGAAGAAGGCATTTCCTTGTGTGTGAAACTGTTTTAAGTGAGGATATCTTGTAACCAAAAAAAAAAAAAAAAGTTTGGTTCCTGGTGAAGCCGTTTTATTTAGTGGGCCATTAAATAAGGTTGTGGGCTTAGTTTTTAATATTATTGGCCCATATTTGTCTTACAAACTCGAATTATGCGTTTGAGTTTGACGATGGCCTTTATCGTGATTCCTTAGTAAAGATTCCACTTTATGATTAAGGAATCAAAATCTGTACGGCACTTAACAACTACACTTTTCAACAACCTCTGTCTAAAGGATATCCATTTTCTCCTCCGTCAAATCCTAAAAAAAAAAACAAAAATGGCTCTGCATTTGAGATCTTCTCCTTCATTGAAATCGACTTTCCTCAACATTCTCAGACAAAACCTGGGTTTCGGTTCTAGGAGCCACGTGACTCGGCATATCCGCCAAAACCTACCACATGATCCTCCGCTTCGAGGTTCACAGAATCCAATTCGTCGGTTCTGTAACACCATGGCAGAGCCAGAGACACTCTCGAGTTTTGGTCAGCACGAAGACGCCAGAAATCATCAGGTGCATGCATTGTTACCGATTCCAATTACTCCGCGTTTTCACTTTGAAACTCTTTTTGAGTGAAAGTTGATTGCTCTAACTGTTCAATCCACTGATGTCGTCTTATCAATGGAATCTACTTTGCGACTTTTTTGTTTTCGGGTCCACTAAATCGTTTCGTAAATACCCTTTTCGCCTGAATTTAATTGCTTTTATTGACATTTCTGTTGTTGATGTTATGAATTAGTAACACCATTCAGAGATTTTCTAGTTTTGTGGTTGTTTTAAAATTCTTCTCAGATTTCTTCTTATGTTTATATTCTCCATTCATTTTGAAGAATATATATGTATGTGGACCTTGAATGTTCAGGTCATGGATTTTCCAGGAGGAAAGGTAGCTTTCACACCTGAGATTCGATTCATATCAGAATCCGATTCAGAGCGTGTTCCTTGCTACCGTGTTCTTGATGACAATGGCCAACTTATCACCAACAGCCAGTTTGTTCAGGTTGACATAAGCCAATAGAAATAATTAATCTTTTCCTTTTTCGTGAATTCTAAATACTCCAAAGAACTCAAGTGATTCATCTTTATTCTTTCTCTTCAGGTTAGCGAAGAAGTTGCCGTAAAGATATACAGTGATATGGTTACTCTTCAAATAATGGATAACATATTCTACGAAGCTCAGAGACAAGGCAGACTTTCCTTTTACGCTACTGCAATCGGTGAAGAGGCCATTAATATTGCATCAGCTGCTGCTCTCACCCCTCAAGATGTTATCTTTCCTCAGGTTTTTGCATCATTCATCTATATTTGATAAATGCACATTCATATACATCATGTTGCTATAATGTGCTACATTGACCGTATTTACATACTCTTTAACTTATGTCAAGGTCCTATGCAACCGTTTCGAGTGAAAACTTGAATGAATGCATGAATTGATAAATCAAGCGTCTTTTTTGTTCTACTTTCAGTACAGAGAGCCTGGTGTTCTGTTATGGCGTGGTTTCACTCTTCAAGAATTTGCAAACCAGTGTTTTGGGAACAAATCTGATTATGGAAAAGGCAGGCAGATGCCAGTCCACTATGGCTCCAACAAGCTCAATTATTTTACCGTTTCTGCAACCATTGCGTAATAGCCTCAGAGCCTCTTCTTCTCAACTGTTTATATTCTTTAACTTTGTCTTGCTTTTGTTGCATATTTGTCTTGATAATGGTTTATTTTGCCTCAGTACGCAGTTACCAAATGCGGTTGGTGCTGCTTATTCCTTAAAGATGGACAGGAAGGATGCATGTGCAGTCACATATTTTGGCGATGGTGGCACGAGTGAGGTAAGTAACAAAATTTGGGTTTGTTTTTGAAGTTAGATTGGATTCTTAGAACGTGATGTATTTTTGCTTGCGTTATTCTAGAGCCTTTCAGATTTTATGAATCACTATGATTACTGAAACTGAAAACAATCTGGTGGCTAATCAAAATGATTTTTTGCTAGGGAGATTTCCATGCTGCTTTGAATTTTGCAGCAGTTATGGAAGCTCCTGTTATATTTATTTGCCGGAACAATGGATGGGCAATCAGTACTCCCACCTCAGATCAGTTCCGAAGTAACTCCTTTTCTTTTTCTTTGGATGATTTACATTCTTTTTACTTGGTTTTCTTTAAGTCTTTTGGATTTGCCAATACTTTTGCAAACACAATGGACAACAGGTGATGGTGTAGTGGTCAAAGGCCGGGCGTATGGCATTCGAAGTATACGTGTGGATGGAAATGACGCACTTGCTATGTACAGTGCGGTGCATACTGCTCGCGGAATGGCAATTAGCGAACAGAGGCCAATCTTGATTGAGGTAGATTTGCTGTGATTCTGTTGTAGATATTAGATGCAACATCAATACACAAAATAAGTGCAAATCTTCTCGTTTTTTTTTTTGCTTGTTAGGCCTTAACATACCGTGTAGGACACCATTCAACATCAGATGATTCCACTAGGTACCGCTCTGCAGATGAGATAGAGTGGTGGAACAAAGCAAGAAACCCACTGTCTAGGTTTAGGACATGGATTGAAAGTAATGGCTGGTGGAGTGATGAAGCGGAATCGGATCTGAGAAGCAGAATCAAGAAAGAGGTAACCAAAAAAACCTGGATCATGAGCATTGTATAAGAAGCATTTTGGTTTTATATATGCTGATTCATCCGATTCTTTTTTGTAAACAGATGTTAGAAGCGCTCCGGGTTGCAGAGAAGACTGAGAAGCCGAATCTGAAGAACATGTTCTCAGATGTCTACGATGTTCCTCCATCTAACCTCATGGAACAAGAACTTCTGGTGAGGCAGACGATCGATAGTCATCCCCAAGATTACCCAACAGATGTTCCTCTTTAGGTAGACTCTAATTGTATGCTTTGTGTAGTAATTAATGTAAGCCATTATCTACATTATGTATTGAAATCGAGACCACTATTCAAAAGCATACAAACTTCTTCAGTATCTGACAGTACACAATGGCAGATGCGTGATATACACCAGATAGCTATTTCAGACTGTACATATATTACAGTTTCAGTTGCGTCTCAGAGAGAAGCTTTTCCTCTTCCATGGATTCTCTGACGGCCTTCAAGATCCGTGGCATGAGCTTCTGGGTGCTGACCACGATCCCTGTTTTGTGTTCAAGATGATTTCCTCTCGAGAAGTCCAGAGGATTCCCATTAGCATCGCAAACTACACCTCCAGCTTCTGCACGAGGTTATTGCTCACAGCCTTTGGTCACTTTAATTGTGTTTTAGAGTAAAGTTATTGCGCAGTGCATACCTGTGGTGATGATTGCACCAGCAGCATGGTTCCATATGGACTCACGGTACTCTTTGAGAGTGAAACGCAAGTATATCTCTGCATCTCCTCGAGCTAGAGCAGCGTACTTCACTTGACTATGGATTCTTAGAGGTGGAGCTTTGATCCCAAGTTTCTGCTTACCGTAAGAGAGTAAGTTTTAGCGAAAAGATTAATACATTTGTTAGATTAGGCTTGAGCAAACTACACACACACACACAGAGTTAGGTTAGGCTTGAAGCAAATTACACACACACACACACAATAGATGTTATACTGTACATTGGCAATGGAGCTATGGATGGGGATTGGTTTGTGGGATGATTCGACAAAGGTTGCTTCTTCAGGATTCTCAATGTTGCTCACTTGCACCTATTAGCAAACATTCTCCAGTCGGTTTTAAGAACACAAAAAGAGAGAGCAAGCCTAAGGGACATTAAATGCTCTGATAATACCTTCTGTGGAGGATGAGAGTCTCCTTCAAGCGATTGCACGTAAGCTCCACCTCCCACTGTAGCAAAGAAAAGGCATCCTGAAGAAGAAGACTTGTGATTCTCAAGTTTCGGGCAAGCCATGGCACCGAGCACTACTTTGCCTTCCACAAGCAAAGCCAATGCCACAGCGTAATCCTCTCCTTTTACAAACCTATTAAGCAGAATCTGCAGGTTAGAGCAAAACGGAGAAGATTGTTCTGTAATGAGTTTCAAGACGAGTTTCAAGACTTCTCACCCTCTGGTTCCATCCACAGGATCAAGAATCCAATGGCGACCATTGGAACCGCCTTGTGACCTCCCGTGGTCTATTGCCTTCCTTACATCTTCCACTGAAAGAGAAGAGTTGGCGTAGGAATCATCAGAAGGTAGAGCATTGTTCACAAGCTTAGTGATGCTTTCTAGAAATTCCTCCGCGCCACTCTTTTGCAGATCTTCTGCATTCTGCAAAAGATATATAACAGAGAAAGATTTAAAGTTTTTGGTGAGGTTTGATTGAAAATAAGAGAGTGTTCATGAGTTTAGCTACCTCTTCAGCAACCAAGTATAGTGGTTCAGGGTGAAGTTCTTTCTCTAGCACATGACTGATCACAGCTTGGGATCCTGCATTTATCAATATAGGTATGGTCAATTAAGACTGGTTTGGTTGGACCGAGGTTGACCGGTTTTGTCATGCCAAATAAAAACCGATTGACAACAGAATTGTGGAATAGATTAACCATAATCAGCAGCTGTAACCGGACTTTTATCAGATTTTGACCGGACGTCTGATTGCAACAGAGACTTCTGCACTTCCTGATTAACCCACAATTCAAAAAATATGTCATTTATAAAAGTTTTGTCTATGGATTAGACATAAATATGTGGTTACTAACCTGGCTGAGACGAGCAGCGAGAGAGACGGCTTTTTTAGCAGCAGCAAGCTCCTTCTCATAAGACATCGAAACAAGAAGAAGAAAACGAAGATGAGTTTATTCAGGTCGTGTGTTTATATACTATATACCCTATACTATGGATTTATTCATGCAATATATATATTTTTATAACCGGTGTTTCGTGGAAGTTTCAACACATTTTCGTAAGAAGTCACATTTGTTAAATATTATTAATCAAGACCTATGGTTTCTCTGATCAATCAAATATTAATTAATCTATACATATGTATCTGGTAAAACAGGCATGCGTAGCTGTAAGAACTCTTGATATGTGCAGCAAAATATTTATTTTTGGAATCGAATTAACACGCTACGAAACGAATCATCAAAACTCAACATTTCAATACTAAATATAGGAAGCTAAGAAGAAAAAGTGTCGCTCATAACAAAAAATAACAGTTCTACTATTTCTTTTTTACTTTTAGAAAGTTTGCTTTAAGTTGTTACAACTTACAAACTTTTTAAGTTCTTCAAGAACTCACACTAAATAGAAAACATAAAACTAACTTCTTTTTTGGTTAAACAAAAACTAACTCGATCACTGCGATATATAAACTCCATCTATAGTACACAAATCATCAAACACAACAAAGCTTGTTCTCACAATCTCAACCTTTTCACAGAAACTTTCTTCTTGAATCTTGATTCTTATCACGAATCAAGAATCATGGTTAAGTTCTTGAACATCGCGTTGATTTTACTCTTGATCGTTTTGTTTGTCGCAAATGTCTTGGAGGCCACGAAACTGAATGTGATGGACAAATGTTGGAGACCAAACCCCCATTGGCGTAGAACCCGCAATCAGCTTGCGCGGTGTTCAGTCGGATTTGCCGGAAAAATGACGGGAAATATCGGTAAAGGAGTGACACAATACAAAGTAACCGACCCTTCTGATGATCCTCTGAACCCTAAACCTGGAACCCTAAGATACGGAGCAACACTCGTCAAAGGTAAAAAATGGATCACATTCAAAAGAAACATGAAGATCAAGCTTCATAAACCGCTTCTAATCAGCAGCTTCACGGCACTCGATGGTCGAGGTGCTAGTGTTCACATCTCGGGTCCTGCTTGCCTCATAGTCTATAAAGCCACCGATGTGATTATTCATGGACTTAAGATCCATGATTGTAAAGCTCATCCACCGAGCTCAGTGATGGGACCAGACTCAAAGATCATTCAACTTGGACAAGTTGACGGCGACGCGATTAGGCTAGTCACGGCTAAGAAAGTATGGATCGACCACAACACGCTCTATGATTGCGAAGACGGTCTTCTAGACGTCACACGAGGGACTACTGATGTCACAGTGTCGAACAATTGGTTTAGGAACCAAGACAAGGTCATGCTTCTTGGACATGATGATGGCTATGTAAGAGACAAAGAAATGAGAGTCACTGTTGTGTTTAACCACTTTGGTCCTAATTGCAACCAGAGAATGCCAAGGTACAAAAGTGATTCTTTCTTTATAACCGGGGATCCGTGACAGAAGCCTAGACTAATGGATTTTCATTTATTGTTACTTCGATTTCTAATTTCGATGAACTATGTGAAATATGCAGAGTGAGACATGGATATGCTCATGTTGCCAATAACTATTACCAAGGATGGACTCAATATGCAATTGGAGGAAGCATGAGCCCTCGAGTAAAGAGTGAATCAAATTATTTCGTGGCACCAAAATCCGGAAGCAAAGAGGTGTGTTTCAATTCGTAATCGAAAACGTTAAAACACAAAACACATTTTCTTTTTTTATCTCATCTAACATTCAAATTCGAATTTGAACTTGTTGTAGATAACTTGGAAGAAACATAGCCATGGAGACCAAATGCAATGGAAATTCTACTCGGTGAATGATTACTTCGAGAACGGAGCTTGTTTCGGCCTACACAAAGGTGTTGGAAAAGCACGGCCCAATTACGGTCCAGATCAAAGGTTCACTGTTGCAAACGCTAAGACTGTTAAAGAACTCACTTCTTCAGCTGGAGCGTTACACTGCACCAGAAATTCCGTCTGTTAGAACAACAACAACGCTTAACATGACTTTTTAGCGTTTCAACATTTCTGCGTTTTCTTGTCTCTTTCATTCATGTACATCAAAATGTATATGGTTTTTTGTTTACGAATGATATTATATACCGATAAATAAATAAAAGTTTAAACAAAACAGAGTTAAACCTGGTAATGTTAATTCAGTTGTTATAGCATCGATACATGGAAACAAATAATCAAGGTTTAAGGCATTGACTTGGTAAAGCCTCCGTCTACAGGAACAACAACGCTTAACATGACTTTTTAGCGTTTCAACATATAAGGAATTTCTCTTCTTCATTCATGTACATGAATTTTATGCGGATAAAGAACACAAGTACTGTGACAAAACAGATAAACCCCGGGAATATTGATTCGGTTGGATGAAACTAACCTTGTCAAAAGTCTAACAAAGACAATGGTTTTGAATGTAAATCACTAATTAAGACGTTTTCTTGTCAGATATTGAAGAAGACTTGTCCATTGATTGAGCAGATTTAGAAGCTGTTACTGCTGCTTGTTCATCTTCAACGAGTTTCCGAAGTTTTGTCTGAAGACCACGAACTCGATCCTCGGTTCTCCTAAGTTTCCTCCATCTATAAGCTGTCCAAAGGAAAAGACCACCGTAGACAACAGTATAAGAACCCCAAACATATGGATAAGCTTCGGCGTGATCTTTGAGTTTCTTGTATTTTTCTTCAATTGCTCCTACAAAACCAGGAGCCACTTGGTTTGGTTGGCTCTCCTGATCTTCTAATCCGCTCTGCTCTGTCGCCATCTCAAATCCCAAATCAGCTCCTGACTAAGCCTGAACCAAATCGAAAAAAGGAAAAATGTAAAGCAAGAAGTCATGCAGAGGAGTGTAGAGTAGTACTTATACATTAAAGAAAGGAAATGATAAAGGCTAAGCTCAGTCCCTAATTACAAAATTGAATCAACAAATCTGTGGATTAGCAAGAATCCGAAAGAACAGTTTCATGTTATAGGACTATCACTTGAAACTTGATACTTTGGGCGTGAAATCTCAAAGCATAAACAATGAAAAGCTTCAGATTGTAGAATCTATATTGAGCTCATGAAGTGAAACAAACTAAGATCATATGAAGAAAAAAGGTAATCTAAGGAAAAATTTCATGAATGTTCATATCCATACTACTTCTGAAATCTAAAAACTTAAGGCACTTCGAAATTGGATCCACAATTTCTTAGGATTTTTATGACACTACAACCAAAAGAGGAACGAAATCTATTAACTTTGCACAAACCCCCGATACTAAATTGGGGGCGAGATCTATGAAATGAACCGCAATAGAATTTAAATCAACCATCTGAGAGGCATTTCCACAAACACTTTCTGTGCATCTAGGAGATCTATGGCTACAAAACCCAGAAATTACAAAAAGAAATTCATGGGATCTTGTATCTTCTAAGAATAACAAAAAGAAAACAGGTACCTGTAGTCAAACAAAGTCGTCGAAGAACAATGAAGATTTCCAAATGAAGCTCAGAGAGCCATAGCTCTTAAACCCTATAAAGCTTTGCAAAACCCAGATCGAGATATTATTGATAGTTTTGCCGAGTTTTGCTAAATACAGTCGTCTTTCGTATCGGTTATTTCTTATTTTCTTTGGTTTATTCTAGATTAAAAAACCATACCAATTTAATACGGTTTGGTTTAATATATAAAAATTTATAATTTTTTCTTTTGGTTTTGAAATCTTGATAACAAATTGGTTTGTCATTCCCATTTACAACTATCTTTCTTTCAGTGAATTCTTTATAGAAGAATTTGTAGCTTTGATTTTCACTCAGAAAAGAAGATATTTCTATACAAAGAAAGAGAAAATTGTTCCCACTGAGCCTAAATGTCATTCATACTTTCATATATTCAGGTCAGAGACTCTGAATCTGTTTTAGAAACAACCAAACCATTTCACATAGGAGACTCCATGAACTTGGTTCTCTACAAGCTGCAGGAGTAAGAGAGAATACACAATGAGCTTTCAAGAGCCCATAAGAAAAAGTTTCCAAAGAATGATTATAATCCATGGCTATGTAGTAGTCGATCTGATTCAGATTCTTCACTTCTGAATCAAGCTTCCAAAGGTTCTTCAAGAACTGCAACAACAAAAGCATGTCTGAGTTTAAGGTTCTTTGTATGAAGCAATTGATACTTGAACAAACATCACAAAAACCTTTTCTCTTTGTTGGAGTGATTTCTGCATTGGAAGCGACTGGTGCTTTTGTTGGCACATCAGGGAGATCCATTTTCTCGGGTTCTTCAGGCACAAGCTCTGTCGTAGGCACTTCAGGCATATCTTCAACAATCAGCTTCGAAACAAACAAACATTATATATCACATTTGACTCCACTCAAAAAAGATTTTATCACAAATAAAATGGTACTCGAAATGTCAACAGGGACAGTACGGTTATAATGCTGGAAACTTTTGTATCTGAGAAACAAGAGAATCCATTATGTATCATACCTGACTTTCTAGGTTGTCGAATTCTGCTAAGATATCTTCTTCATCTTCTGCTGATAGTTTATCACCTAATATGGCACTCAGTTCCTAAAATCCAAGTGTTTAACAGTTAGATCAAGCAAAAGAATACACACAACCATGAAGGAGACAAACGAGGAGAAGCTCGGCTAATAATGTGACACATGATTGTAACTATAAGAGAACCGCATAAACAAAAAGGAACAACAAGGTTCACTATTAACTCACATCCTGATAAGCCTTGGCCTCAGCAGTGTCATCCATTAGTTTCTGAACATCATCAAGGTTGACCTCACTCTGAATCGCCTTAATTGCACTGTTACCTTGCTTTAAGCTCTCAAAGACTGCTTTCTGCTTGCTTGTAAGTTCGATATCTGCCAACTATGTCATAACGACAGGTTCAAAATATATTCGTTTAGTTTTCTTTCAAAACACAAAATAGGCTATCAAAGAAAAGAAAAATAATCAAGAGGTTAAGTGATGGAAACAAGAAGATGAAAAGAAGAGGTCAAGTAAATTTACTTGTTGTTCGACATTGATGAGCCACTGATCTACTTGCTTCAACAACTCTTCTTGTGTCCGCTTCTTCTTCAATGCCAACAAAGCCCTGTCCTTTCGCTTCTCACGGATTAAGTCTCTTGCAGCTTGCTTTTCTGCTTCAATTACTTTCTCAAGCTAAAAAGAAATAAGGGTTTAAGAGAAAGAAGATTAAAGCTCAGGATCATAAGAAAGAAAACAGTAATTTTGCTCCACGATCGAACTCACTATCTACCAACCGACGATGACATAAAAATCAAAATTTGGGTCCAGGACGGATTTTGATTCTTCATCACAAGAAAATCCAAGCTTAAAAAATTCAAAACTTGAGCAAGTAGACACCTTTAATTGTTTCTTAGACCTTGATAAGATTCAGTAACCTTTACCCTTGATGAATCATGACCTCTGGTGTTACGAATCAAAATCTCAAATTCCAGAACAGACCCAATTCGAGCAAGATTAAGCCCTAGAAATGCGAAAATCACAAGCGAGGGAAGGTATCAAGAACCTGTTGCTGATATTGACCAAGCTTGCGCCTTTGGGTTTTGAGAGAAAGAATCGCTCGATCAACCTCCGTGATCTTCGGTTTCTTCACGAACAAATTCCCCATCGATCCACTTTACCCAATCCAACAAAAAGTTTTACAAGTGGAAGAAGAAAATTTCTGTAAGGGCTTCGCGATTTCAAACCAAATCACAAATCTTTTTGTTTTTTTTCACTTTTTCCACAAAAGCTGAAAAGCTCCCGCCGCGCGTTTTCTGAAACTGGCGTTTTTAAAAAAGCGTTCCGAGTCTAAAGAGTTGTCACAGTTATGATTTTATCACACGCGCTACAACAGCGCGTGATCGGTGAACGCATTAACATAAATACTCGAGAAGAGAGACACGGCGTTTCATTTTTTCCTTGAGAATCTCTAATCCCTCTCAACTCTCACGACTCGATTTCGCAGTAGAATAGTGCTTTCGCCATCTCCGAGAAACTCGTTGCAGCGTCACGACCAGGTTTCTTCTCACTTTTACTAAATTGTTTAATTTCTCGGGTTTTTGTTTTGTTTTGTTTTGTGCGAGAGTTTACTCTGGTCTGAAGAGAGCATTTTGGGTCTGCTTTTTTATAGTTGGAGAAAATGTCTTCGAGAGGAAAAAGGAAAGACGAGGATGTCAGAGCATCAGATGACGAATCTGAATCCCACGCGCCGGCCAAGAAAGTCGCAAAGCCAGCAGACTCCTCCGACGAGTCTGACGACATCGTCGTCTGCAATGTTAGTCTACTCCTTCTCTCTATCTTTCAATTTCGTTATCTACTCTAGTAGCAGTGAGCTTAACGCTTTGGATCAAGTTTTGATTTTGTTAATGGGTTTTGCTCAAATTAGGGTTTTAATCGAATTAGGGTTTATGATGGTTTATTTGGTGTACATTCAGTTATCTAAGAATAGGAGAGTCTCTGTGAGGAATTGGAACGGGAAGATTTGGATTGACATTCGTGAGTTCTATGTCAAGGACGGAAAGACTTTGCCTGGCAAGAAAGGTAAATTTTTGTAATTGAAACTATTTTCTTGTGAGTGTTCCTCTTATTGTCACAATTCACCATTGTTAGTAATGTGTTTCCTTATCTCTTAGTCTTCATCTTTTGTTAATGTTTTAGTTAGGATTTTATAACCACAGATCTTATGGTCATAGCGGGTAATTCTGCGGATTGGGACTGTTTATGTGCTTGAGGGTATGAGAGGGGATGGTGCAGGGTGTTTTCTGTTCTTTATTTTTGTTCTAGTGCTCTTTAACATGAATTTTTTTGATAATGATTTGCACTATCTCATACCTGTCTCTTAGGAAAGCTATATTAGTTTGCTTTCTTTGGATAATCATGTTTATTGATATGTCTTTTTTTTTATATGTTGCAGGTATCTCTCTAAGCGTGGATCAGGTCTTCACATCTCTCTATCTCTCTCCCATTGTTTTATGTCTTCCATAAGTGATTATGTTTTCTTGTTATTTGCTTATTACACAACTTTTCCTTAATGCAGTGGAACACTCTTCGGAACCACGCAGAGGATATCGAGAAGGCCCTCTCTGACCTTTCTTAGAGTTTTAAAACTTGTATAATTGGTTGTACGTCTATTATAAGATGGCTCAGGTGTTTTGGTTGTTTTTGTAGAACAACACCATGTTCTGCTAGTGTAAGCTGCTACAAATTAGTTGGTGTATCGAACCTTTCACTTTTGGTTCAGACAAGCTTTGGTTGGTATTAAGAATGGTTGCTCTTTTATTTGCTGCTGTTGAATTTGCAAATTAAGAGACGTTGCAGGAATAGAAGTATTCATTTGATAAATTATAAACAAGATAGGTCTAAATGTTACATAGCCCTTGCCAGATTTCACTTGAATGATCCAGACAAGGCGATAAGCAGACATGGTCATTAAAGATGAGCCCAGCACAAGAAATGCATCACTCTGTGTTGCAACTTCCATTGCTCCAGTTGCTCTTTTCTTTTGTGGTGTTGTTGTCTCCAAAGAAAAGTACCTTCCCAAAAAAGAAAAAAAATAACTCCCGCGTTTTTAAATTGGGCGGCGCGTTTCTCAAACTTGCGTCTATAAAATGCGTTCCGAACCTGAAATCACAGTTGTAATTCGGTGAACGCGCTAGATAAATTACGCGAGAAGAGAGACATGGCTTTTTATTTTCCTTGAGAATCTTAAGAGTCGATTTTTGCAGTAGAAGAGTGCTTTTCTTTTACTGGTTGAGAAAATGTCTTCGAGTGGAAAAAGGAAAGGCGAGGAAGTCAGAGCATCAGACAACGACGACGAATCTGAGACCCACGCGCCGCCTAAGAAAGTGGCAAAGCCAGCGGACGAGACTGAGGACATCTTCATCTGCAATGTTAGTCTCTCTACTATATATCTCTTTTTCTAGAGCAGTTCGTATGAGTTTTATTAGGGTTTGGATCAAGTTGTGATATTTGTTAATGGGTTTTTACTCAAAATTAGGGGTTTATGATGGTTTGTTTTGTATACATTCCAGTTAGATAAGAATCGGAGAGTCTTTGTGAGGAATTGCAACGGCAGGATTTGGATTGCCATTCGTCAGTTCTTTGTCAAGGACGGTATAACTTTACCTTGTAATAGCAAGCACGGTAAATTTTTGTTTTTAACTATCTTCTTTTGACTGTTTATCTTGTTCTCACAATTCCACCTTTGCTAGTAATGTGTATCCTCCTCTCTTTTCTTTTTTATGGACAACAATGTATCCTCATCCCTTAGTTTTCATGTTTTTGTTACTGTGTTGTTTCATTAAGGTTCTGCATTTAGTTAGGATTTTATAACTGCAGATCTTAGGGATTTATTATATAACTAGTACTTCTGCGGTTTGGGACTATTTATGTGCTCGAGGGTATGAGAGGAGATGTGCAGAGTGTTTTCTTTTCATCAACAACGTTTTGGTTTTTGTCTCTATGGACAGCTATATGCCTATATTAGTTTGCTTTCTTTGGATAATCATGTTGACAAGATTTTTGATGTCTGCTATATTTTGCAGGTATCTCTCTAAGCCTGGAACAGGTATTCACATCTCTCTTCCATTGTTAATGTCTTCCACACGTGTTTATGTTTTGCTGTGTTTTGCTTATTACACGAGACCTTTTTCTTAATGCAGTGGAACGATCTTCGGAACCATGAGGAGGATATCGATAAGGCCCTCTCTGACCTTTCTGAGGTTTAAAAGCTTGTATAATCGGGTAGTAAGTCTAATGGAAGATATGGCTTAGGTTGTTTTGGTTTGTTTTTCAGAACAACACCATGTTCTGCAAGTGTTAGCTGCTTCAAGTTAGTCGATGTATCGAATCTATCACTTTTGCTTTAGACAAGATTTGGTTGGCATAAAGAATGATTGATTACTCTTTTATTTGTTTTTGAATTTACAACTTGAGATACGTTGCATAAATATAAGTATTTTGGTAAACTATAAACGAAATAGGTCTAAATCTTACATAGCTCTTGCCAAAGTTCACTTGAATGTCCTAGTGAGCTGGGACACTGAGCGATCCCACGTCAAGAACTCTGTGCAATATCTGCACCAAACAGGTCACAAACTAACAGATTATTAAGGATCACGAAATTACGGATTTTCCAAGCATTTTCAAGGCTGGAGGAAAGGGAAGACATTTATGCTATGATCTTACCTCACCAACCCTAGCATTGATTTTCAATGGAACAATGTCATCAGCTCTTGTTTCGCCTATATTTACAATTGCAGTCATGGCACCAGCCTCATGAGCCGCTCTGCAGAAGGTATATAGAAAGCTTTTTAGTGAGATGCAAACTCAAAACTGGATGAGATTATTCTCCCGCATTACCTGACAAGGCGAAAAGCAGACATTGTCATTAAGGATGAACCCAACACGAGGAATGCATCGCTCTGTTTTGCAACTTCCATTGCTTGAGTAGCTCTTTCCTTTGGAATGTTGTCCCCAAAGAAAATTACCTTCAATACAACCAAAGCATAATAAGAAACAGAGCCAAACTAATTTGTCTCTATCTGATAAAGTCGATCTTACATCAGGCTTTAGGACTCCTTTGCACTTCTCACATACTGGTATATGAAAACCTTCTTCCCAAAACTTTTCGTCAATCTCAATATCACCATCAGGCCTTTGTTTCATGCCAAAGCTCTTCTCTGATCCTGGATCTCCATGATCGATACTTTCTATAGCTTCAGCCCACTACAATAGAAACAAAAACGTTGTAACTTTGCGAGATAATACATTAATCCAGTTGATTCAGGTTATAGTATACACTGGCCTTAGGATTGATAGCTTTTAGCTGATCCTGAAACAAGTCTCGGGAAAAAGAGAAGCCGCAATCTAAGCACATAACAGTATATACTGTGCCATGTAATTCAAGTGGATCGCTCCCAGCACGATGATGCAACCTAAAAACTTAGAGCTTAGAGTCAACATTCTTCACATCCAACAGAGATCCCACAAAAGAGGAACTGAATAATATACCTGTCAACGTTTTGCGTGATCATAAAATTTATTCGTCCAGCTTTTTCTAGTGATGCTAAAGCAGTATGCGCTGGTCCAGGTTGTGCTGCAGTGAACCGTCTCCATCCAGCGTAACTCCTTGCCCAATACCGCCTACGAGCTCGGCTCGATCGAGTGAATTCCTGTGAAGCAAGTGGTCGACAATAGCTTTAACACAACAATAGGATGATCCAAAGTTTGCATTAAGCACTGTAAAGATTTTCATAGATCTTGCCTTCAGATCACCTGATGGGTAATTGGTTTGAAACCAGAACTGTATGCTCCATTGGGACTGCACCAAATCATCACTCATCAGAATTATTACCAAATGGAACCAGATGTAACTCATCAGACCATCTAAACGAGAATCCAAGGCATTTTCAGACAAGACTAATCGATCAAATGAAGTACCTTCTATAATCAGGAATTCCACATTCTGTGCTAATCCCAGCTCCGGTCAAGATGGTGAGTCTCGAACTGCCAAGAGAGAAGAGGAAAGCCATTAGATATACAACACATCTATGCTTACTGCTGGAAAAAATGGTGAAGGAATATATCAACCTTTGCTCAAAAAGTCGATACAACTTATTAATATCTTCCATATTGGGAGGATCAGCATCTGGAACTATCTTTTTATCCCTCAGAAACCTTGGAGGTGCTTTTGATTCATTTCCCAAAGAACCACCAGGGATTGAAACGCGACACGTTGTTCTCACAAAACGTCTGCATCCTTTAAACAACATAACTAAATTTCCCCCAGATTGCAGCGGCCGATACATACTACGCAACGGAAACAAATCTAGAAGCAAAAAAAAAAAAAAAACTCAGCAACATTAACTCATCTGAGTAATGAATCAAAACAAGCTAGGACACAAAGATGAGCAAGAACATTCCCATAAAGATTTTTCTCATACTTGCCTGTATATACACCTCCAAACACTCTTCTCATGGTCACATAAGCCTAAATCACAGAGAGAGGGAAGAAGAAAACCTCATTTCAAACACAAAATCGTGATACAAGATTGAGGATTAAAAAAATGTTAAATGCAACCACTTTCCTACATCAATGATCACAATTTCACCAACAAAAAATTGTAATGTAGATATGAATCTATGTTAAGCCAATTAAATTCAATGACGAAGATCTAGCTAGAAATGGTACTACTGAGATCAAAATAAAGCCAGCGACCGATTTCACCGAGAAGCTAGGTCGAAAATGATCGAGTGTGGAAATTAATACCCAAGAACAAACAGTAATAGATTACCTTGAGAGGTCGTTAATGGCGGATGAAACGAGATTTCTTCAGTTTTGCTTTTTATTTTTTTTGTTGTGTAGAAGACGAGGTGGCTAAAATCGGACGTCTGAAACTCATTATTGGCTAAGCAAGTAGCCACGTAGCGCAATTATCCACCGTTGATTTGTTTCACTTAACTAAACGACGTCGTTTGAAGGAAATAAAACAGAAACCTTTTTTTTTTTGTTCACAAAAACAGAAACCTAAAACGCTATAAAAATCGTCGCCACCGTTCCGTTTCCTCCTCGTCGATGACGCTCTCCGACGTGAGTCCTCTCCATTTTCCTATTGTTCTTAGCTTAATTGTTTGGTGGGTTTCGATTTTGTTTCGATTCTGTACTTTACTGTTGTTTATGATTCCAAAGATTAGAGGATGTAACTTTTTTCTTATTATCATTCGATTCTTTTCTACTTGATGATGTTTTTATGATTCTCTACTACAGGAATGTTGATTTGTTGATGGAAGCTTCTTTAGAATTGATTTCACAATCTCTGGTAAGTCATTTAAAGCAAACTCCAATAATGTTGAATGGGAACGCTTACTAGGAAATGCTTTGGCTTTGAATTTGATTATGTTTTGATAAGATAAGTTAGGATTCAATTGAATCATTATAGTTATTGACTGAGTGATGTGAACTATAATGATTACAGAGCTAAAGATTCTTGAGTTGGAATTAAGATGCCTCACAGAACAAGGCCATTGAAGGGACTCTTGCTTTTCACTGGAATAAACTTTGTGTTGGTGCAGACCATTACTCCTGTCTATGACTTTGTCTGCTTCTTGCCTTACTGGGAGAGAAGGGTATGTTTTTGATTTTTAACTCTCAAGACTGTAAACACACTTTCTGTTTTTCGTTATGTTCCAATGTCTCCAAGTGTGTAGTTTAACTTGGAGACAATGATCATACTAGTTGCTTGGAGCTAACGATCTTGGCACAGTAGGTTATCTGCATAGGTAGCATGACGTATGCTCTAAGTTTTGACATTGTGAACAAATTGGATCATGTTGCATTACCAAGCACGCGATAACTCTACTGTTATTTATTTTTTGTTTTCCCCCGTTTTCTGGCGTCTCATGTCATTACTGACTAACTTTAGTTTTGTTTGTTTCTCTGTTGTTACATTGAATCTCTACAGAGAGAGCGAATCCGGCAGGAGCGTGAAGCGGTGGCTGCATCCTTACACAGCACAAACTCAACACAGAAAGCTACCCAAGCATCTGTTGGATGATGAACTCTCCTCTACATCTTCCCAATCTCTTAATCAGAATTCCTCTTTGTACTGAGAAGGCATCTTCACATTTCTGCTCTGAGCTTAGATTCATTAGTAGCAAATCTTGAAAGTTTGTGGGTTGTTTTAAAACAGGTGCCTTAATCGTAGCTACTTTCAAAGATTAAAGTGTCTTGGGTTTTTTTTTGTTTCAGGATTCCACCGCCACTTTAGTCATTTATTATTATCATTTTCATGGTTATATAATGTGAAACTAGATGTGATAAAAACTCGCATAATGGTACATAATTAACTTTTAGACGTTCTTATTGTTTGTTTGCGTCGTTTTCTCAATTATTGTGTGTTTAGTTTGCGGATTTATTTTAAAAATTATAATTTTATCTACATATTGTTTTCCTACTCCCACCAGCTTTATTTATTGACAGCAATAATATTTTGCTGAATTTGAAATTGATCAGAGATTGAGTGGGTGACTTTGTCCCTTCTTACTATGGTAAGTTTTTACAATTACAAAAATGTCCTCCTAAATCAATGTTATTTACATTTTAGTTATTTTTTATTTAATTTTTTTTCACCCAAAACTCATTCTCTATATAAAGAAGAAGACTTGGAGATAAATCCCTCGCTCAAACTCTATTTCTTCCTCCTCTAAGAAAAAAAAATCATCTACTTCTCAAGGTTTGTATATATATATATATATATATATATATATATATATATATATATGTTCAACACTTAAGTTATTCATAATTTGTGACTTGTTTTTTTTTTCTTTTTTTTGCAGATGCAAGTGTTTATCAAAACTATCACGGGGGAGACTTACTGTGTCGATGTCGAAAAAACTGACACTATCTCTAAAATGAAAACAAAAATATATAACGCTATGGGTTTGGAACCGGCATACCAATACCTCGTTCACGGCAAGAATGTGCTCGAGGTCCATGGCGGAGCTACGGTGGGTGATTACGGAATCGAAGCTCGCGCCAAGATCCAGTTAACCAAGCGTATGCGTGGTGGATGAGCTCGGGCTAAGTAGACAAATTGCTTTTATTCCTATTTGGTTGAATAAATAACATTATTGTGTAATAATTGCGGTAGCCGATGGTTTATGTTTGTGATTTTAATGTTTCAACTTTCAAATAATAAAGTAAGAAGAGTTTCTTGCCCACGTTTGAAAATCATTTTGCATCAAGCATTCTCTTTCTTTATTAGTCAATATCTCGATGTAATCATCTCGCTCCAATGGTTTCCACAAAGAATCAAATTTAAACAACTCCATTGTTGATTTCTCTAATCTTGAAACGAAAAAAGGCTTACAATGGAAAGCTTGTGTTCTTGGCTTTTGAGTTCCTTTTCTAATCTTGGTTTCTCATTTCCATTTTTCCGAATTTTCGTTGAAGTTGTTGATAAAGTTCCAGTTTTGCTCGTTTCCTTCAACTGTTTACCATTTGTTACCACCTCCAAGATTTCTACATCACTCTCACGTTTGGTTTCTTCAAAATGTTGGTATCTTCTGAGTAATCTCTCTCTCATCAATATTGGAGGTGTAGCTCCAAAACGCTAACCAAGCCCAATCGATATTGAATATATATTCAAAAACTGGCCATAAGAAAAAAGAAATTTGCATTCAATTCATCTAGCATTTCCTCATTGTTTGTATTGAGAGCTCCCCTACATTTCTCCCGTAGTTTCACGATAGCGGAAGCTAAACCTTGAAGGCTTGAAGGCCATGGTTCCTCCCATGTAAAAATGCAGAGAAAGAACCGTGTTTAACAAACCGAACCGGTGAAGATTTCGTTTCGGTTTAAAGGTATGAACTGTTTGTAAAATGTGTTCGATTCTCGGTTTAGATAGGTTTCGAACAATAAACCGATCGGTTTGGACAAATTACTCATTGATTCTTCCCTCCTCTCATCCTCGTGCTTGAGTCACAGATCCGTTTCTCCTCTACTTCGTCTCTCGATTTTGTCTTCACTCAGTTTCAAAGATCGACACTTTCCGGCATCTTGGGTTTTAAAACATTTTTAGTATTGCCGTTGAAGTCGTCTTCTTCGTCGTTCTTGGTGTGAACCGAAACTAAAGTTAGTCTCTTTGCTCCAACACGATGAACGAAGGTGAGAGTTGTTTCTTCTTTTGTTCCTTGTAGAAATTTAGGGTTTTGTTGAGTTTGTCAGTTTGAATTGGGTTGATCATCTATTGTGGATGCTGATTTCCAAAATTGGGACTTTTTTTTTGTTTTTTTTTTCTTTAATGCTTTCGAGGTTTCTCGTCTTACATTGCTGATTTAATAAATTATGAATGCCGACCACTTTTAATTTTCTAGAAACGTTATTGAAATAAGTATGATTCAAGTTTGACCATCGTATTATTTCACTTTGAGCTGCTGAATGGATTTAAATTTCGATTCAGAGATACTCTTTTATGTGAATATTCAGAACTTTGGAAGGAACTGGACTTGTGATAGTTCTATCTGTTTATTGGGTCTAAATTTAGCTATAAGGGGGGTGTTTATGTAAATCGATTATTATCGTGTTAAAATCAAATTTTGTCAATCAAGTGTTGTTTGAATTTATATGTTTCTTTTCTATTGATACTCTCATAGTCTCATTCAAATGTTGTAGAACTTGGCAAATAGACGAAAAAAAAAACCTGGTTGTGCGAAAGGATCTGGTGTGGTCCGTGTGAACCGATCAAGAACAGCAACGAACACTGTGAGCATTCTATTTTTTCAACAAAGATTATTTATTCTGAGCCCTTTGTTTTTAGGGTAGAGTTCAGCTGTTATTCATTCAAATGCTGTACAACTTGGCAAACAGATAATGCTTATTCATCATCAAAGAACAATGGAGTCTGTTTCTAGATGAATTTTATGTTAATTTTTTAAATATTTCTGTAGTTTTGGTATAGAATCAGAGTATATATATTTTGTTTAGAGGATATTTTGTATAGAATAGAGAATTGACATTAGATCATTGATGGAGTATTATCAGAGGAAGTTGGCATGAAAATGTATCTTACAAATATGACATCCAATAACACCATAGTATTGAATGCATGATTTAAATAAAGTATTGAATAACAATAGATTATCCCTAGACATATATCTTATGAAAACCCCATCACTGGTCCTCCGACTCCAAACCCGCGTTCCCTACTAGGGCTAATCATGGGGCTGGCAGTTACAGTTGGCTTCCTCGTTCCACTCAGCTCCACAGGTGAAACAAAACTCGAATTTGCAACTGTGAGGATTTAACAAGACAAAATGATCAAAATCAATATTAATAAACAAATAATAACAAAAGCCATGAAGGCTCGTCTCAAGCATTAGAAAGATTCGGTGCGGTGGTAAAAAATAATCCAGCAATGTCGTTATGCATCATCGTTACAAACTCTATATATTCAATCCTTTCATCCTAAAACAAGAAAAACAAAATAATTTCTGGTCTTATACCATAAAATCTCAAAGGTAGATGATATGTTTGCATTTTATTAAATTAAATTGGGTAAAGAAAAAGAAAAAAAAATTGAATTCTGGTTCTGCACCTAGTGCAAATGCACCTCTTGCACTAGATCAACGACGGCCCTGGTCATGATACACACACACTATATGAAGTAAAAATGCAGAGAAAGAGAGAGTGTACCTGCAGATTATACGGTTGCAACCTCCCTCATGTGCAATCATCATCTTGCAATTTCCGCATCTCTTCCATCCAAGACTCTTAGCCAAAGCTTCGTAACATTCCTCATCCTCAGGAGATGTCTCAATATCCTCTGATTTAACGAATTCAGCACATGTCATACCATAGTGCCATCCTGCTTTGCATTTTCCACAGAAACAAAACCCACACTCCGTGCACTTTCTGGCTCCTGACAGCTCAGCATCAACGAAGAAGGATTTTGTGTATTCAATGAGGTTGGGCTTTGCCATTACATTGTCACATGTGGGACAATATACTCTCTCTGAACCTTTGATCATGCTCGCCTTCTTGTAATTGGTCATAAGATCAAGCTGCTTAGGCTCCAAAAGACCTTCACAATCCTCTCTCTGTAGTTCTGAGTTGCAACCCAAGCTTGGGCAGTTTACTGGTTTCACCAATTCTAGTGCCACTTCGGCTTGTTTCTTAATGCAATCAACGCAGAAGCGGTGGAAACAACCAGGTACCTCAAACTTCTCATCAGATGGAACGTGTTCATAGCATATTGGACAAGTCTCCATGTAGACGTCACCTTCACGCCATCTGATTTGTGAAGCTATAGCAGCTCTGGCATGCTCAAGGACAAAAGTGATGTCCCTGCTCACAGGAAGTGCTTCGCAAAACGAGAATCTGCTCTGAAGAAGAGACACTTCCTTGACAAATGTTGCTATAGTGGACTCGTTTGGTTCAGCTTTACCTGTTACCTGTCACATAGAAAAAGAAAATATAATATGAGACGTAAACCTAGCAAATACACATACTAAAAGTCTACTAATGAAAAAATGTTTTAGGGTTGAGTAGTTACGTATTCTAAGATATTGGAATCATCACATAAGAACGTGACACTTCCCAGATCAAGCTCCAACGCCCAATTCAAAGCATGAATTATGGCAGCCAATTCCGCAACTTGCTGGTGTGTGGACTCTTCACCTCCCAGAACTTTCTTCATCTCAAATAGTCGGTTATCCTCTGGGTCGCAGATGGCCACACCAAACCCACCGATCTGCTTACTCTCATCCCTAACCACCTCTTCACTCACCAAACCCTTGCAATATAACCGAAAGGTCGACACACACATCGTGTAAGGCTTCTCAATTTGGTCGAAATTACATTCCTGGGAGGAGGTGTGGCGTGCTCGAGAGGCGGCGGCGGCGATTGCTTCCTGCATCTATGAATTGAAAAACGCAAGCGTTAAAAGAAGAAAATGGAAAGAAAGGACACCAATGGAATTAGGGCTCAGTGGATCTACGGCCTGAGTTTCGACTAAACTCAGTTTCGAATCAGATCTCCATAAAATAAAAGCAGAAAAAAAAAAAAAAAAAACTAATTTCTTAGGCCAGACAAAATCTAGAAAACAAACTTTCTACTCCAGATCTAAAAAATGCACAAAAATACCTTGAGGAAAGAAGATTTTCCTTTTTTTCGAAAAGGAAATGAAGTTTGAGTGAACGAATTTTATAGAAATCTAAGGCGTTGAATGGTTTTTGGTTTTAGTTTTTTCCAAAATCTATTTTGTAGCCATCGATCTATTTAGTAGCCATTCAAGATTTTGAAAAAACAAGCTTTCCTAAAAAAATATAGGGAATCTAGTTTTTGAGTGTTTTAACAATTTTTTAAAGAAAAGCCAAAATCCATGTTTTTGGAGTTTCTCCTCAAAAACCATCCATCACATTTTTCATTTCTTTTTTAAAAATGTTTTGTAAAGAAAATTATTATCCATTAACATAAAAACCGAAATCTAAAAAAATTATCATTCAAGTTTTTAAGAAACTAAAATCTACACCAAAAACAAAAACCAAGAAAATCAAAAACTAAAAACCAAAAACTAAAATCCAAAATCCAAAAACCATTTTAAAAACTACAAACAAATTTTTTTTTATACATAAACTCAGTTTTTGATTAAAAAAAATTTAGTAATAAAACTTCTCAACTAAAGATGAATCGTAAAAAAAATCCTCAACTATATATTTAGTGCAAAAACCCCTCAAATATGAATATGTTCATGAAAATTCTCATTCGTCTCCAGTGTCATGAAAATTGGACGGACTACAGTTAAATTGAAACTGAAAACCGATATATATACACTTAAACAACATGAATTGTAAACAAAAACAACATCAATTATAAACAAAAACAACAAAATCTTCTTCCATCTGATTATAAATCCTCAAACCTAAATTTTAAAATTCTCAAAGTGAAAAATCTAAATTGATGAACCCTAATTTATCGTAGTAAGATTCTCTCAAGTTTATGTGGTGTAAAAGTCGATTAGGAGAGATTCTGAAAAACGTTACGTTTTAATTTGAATTGAATCCGTCCAATTTTCACGACACTATAGACAGAAGGGAATTTGCATGAACATATTTAAAGTTAAGGGTAGGCCTGGGTATTCGGATTTCGGATCGGATTCAGGTCGGATATATTCAGATTCAGATAATTAGGGTATCTACTATACATTTTTGCAACACTTTTAAGGAATCCAATCGGGTCAAAATTTGTTTAATTTTGACCCGGAAATCTATTAAATTTGACCCGCAAATTTGACATCCGGATCTTGCCTTCTTTGATAGTTTGCTCCTATTTTTATTCACCAAATCTTTCCATATTTGTTGCGACCTACAGTCATGGTTTAAATGATTAAGTTTCTCAATTCAATCTCAGTTAGAGATACAAAATATTTCCAGTTATACCTATAAAGAAGCTCACATTCGTAGCATATCTAATCTTCCCTATTAAAACGCAAGAGTAATTATTCCATTAATCATTTCTTTCTATCAACTAAACCAATCATGGAATGATCTTATCAACTTGGAAATTAGTTAATACCTATAAGATTTTATCTATATTCTCTTAACAATCAACCTAGCATATTCTCTGTTATTCCAGTCATTAAGATCACGAAATATATTCAATCTTTGCTCATCAAGATTTTATAATATTCACCTAAACCTAATGCAATCTACTAATTCAAACTATATAAATAGCTGCTCATTTCCATCGTCTCTATTCACACTCTCTCATTTCCCATTAGCAATATATCAGATAAAATAAAATACTCTACCTTTACCTGCAACAATGGCTTCCTAGTTTGCTCTGTTGAGAGATGTCAGACCATACAAGACATCTTGGCGTGTGCAGGTTAAGGTTCTCCATTCTTGGCGCCAGTATACCAACAACACATGTAAAACCCTTGAGTTGGTCCTCGCTGATTCACAGGTAAAACAACAATATATCAGAGAAACCTCAATTTTATATTTCTATGCATGAGTGTGTTTTAGTACCTAACTCCAAAGTCCAAATCTACTTCATTACTAAAACAGGGTGTCAAGATTCATGCTTCTGTAAAGAAGGATTTGGTTGCTAAATATGTTAACAGCCTACAAGTCAATGAGTGGAAGTTCATTGAACATTTTGCACTTACTCATGCAGCAGGGCAATTCAGACCAACTGGTCATCTATACAAGATGTCCTTTGTCAATGGCACTACTGTGACACGGTCTGACATTGTCTCTGATTCAAGCTACTTAACATTGGCAAGGTTTAGCAGAATATAGAATGGAGATTTAAATCCTTACATGTTGATTGGTATGTGCTTTCTAAAATATACATTCTGACATCTTAAATCATGAATTTATTTTTGTTGTTACTAAATGTACTGTCGTCAACCAAATATAGATGTTCTCAGATGCCAATTGCCGCTTGATCTTATCCAAGCTGTTCTCAGTAGCATCAACAATTCTCTGTGCATTTTCCAAAATTGACAAAATGGGTCAGTTTAAGAGTGTCAATTAGAAAAAGAGCCAAAATAAAGAGACTAAATTGTAGCAGACAGAGATCGAGTGAGAGAGAGACCGGACAAGCGCCGTTGGAAGCCATGTTAATTGGGATCGACGATATCGGAAAGATCTCTGGTCGATTAAAGGTGAATAATCGTTGATCGATAGATCGAGAGAAGAAGTGGTTTTAAGGTTTTGTTTGGTTTAGGTATTGAGCTGAAGAAGACGAGATTAAAGAAGAAGAAGAAGAAGAAGAAGAAGAAGAAGAAGAAGAAGAAGGAGAAATTGCTGTTAGGTTTGGTTTCGCGGAATTGCAGTTGAGTGTGTCTTCACTCTTTCAAAGAGATCAAATCAGGATTAACCGGCCGGTACGTTACCGGATCAAATCAACTAATCCGACCGGTTCTCTTTTTTTTTTTTTGGGCTCAGAAACATTAATGGGCTTGGTTGTCTGCAGCCCAGCATGTAGGAGAGGTTACCTTATTTTGTATTAACATGTTAATTATGTTGTTAAGTTCTTGAATATATCATGCAAACTAATTAATTAAAACATACTAGATCCTGACCCGCACGTACGTGCGGGGTTTCATATTTCAAAAACATTTCTTACAAATTTTCATATAATATAGATTATTTTATTGTTTTTATGATGTATATTTTAGTGTATTAGATTTAGATCCACATGTACAGAGATATTTTTTTTAGAAATTGTTATATAGATTTTAAAAATATAAAATATTTTGTTGTGTTAGTGAACTTTGTAATAATATAGATATTATAAAGTTAGAGTAATGAACGAAATTTAGTTGCGTTAGTGCATAGTTATATTTTAAGATTCGGACCTACACGTACGTGTGAAATTGTATTTAATATAAAATTAAGATATTATTTAGTTGCAAAAGTTAAGTGATGTTACGTTTTTATTTTCTAAACTATTCAAAACATTTCTAACAGTTTGATTACATGTGTTAAATAGGATACATATTCGGTTTAGTTTGGATTATTTCATGTATATTAGCTAGGCGTAACTATTTTGGAACAGGAAACCTATCCCGTCTTGTATATGTCATAAATTTTTCGTCCCATAACCCGTCTCGTATACGTGAAATAAAAATATTACGGTCCCGTATCTGTCATAAATTGTAACTAAAAACGTACGTATAAGGTTATGTGTGTAAACAAATTTATTTTATATAGTGCTCATAACACAAACTCATACCAGTTGAGTATTAAGTTTGATTTTTAATTTATGTTCCCCTGCCATCCCGTCTCGTAATTCTTATTCTCATTTCATTCCATTAAAACCATGTTCCAAATTCTTGTTTGCTTACTTTAAAATACCATAAAATACATACTGTGAGTTTTGCGGATTAATATGTATGATGTTAAAGTTACAAATATTTTAACAAATTTATTAATGTTTCTTTCCTTAGCTAAATTTTGCATATTTTTCTTTTCATTGTTTAATCATAATTAGTTCAATATTTGGACTAAAAATAAAAGTTTTAGATACATCTATAAAAGGGATATGCTATTGCTGCATAATTTGTGTTGAATGCAAAATATATAATTAGTTTACATAATTTCAAAAACTGTGTGCAATATATTATGGATTTATTTAAGAAAGATCTGAGTTGAAAAGAAAAAAATAAAACACAAAATATTTCAAAATTAATATGTACATTCTATTGTTTAGATTTTTTCAAAAATTGCTCTAAACGAAAACCATTATGATAATTACTTAAAATTTATTATTATTTGAGTTTATTTCATAGTAAAAATAAATATTTGTTAATATTTAATATGGTTTTTTAGAAATTATGAAATAAAATTTTGTTTTATATTTCAAAATTTGTAATAAAAATATTATAACAAAACTGAATATTAAAATATTTGCATTTAATTTTTTTACCAAATTTTAAATTCAATCTTAAAATCTTCCTTAAATAATATTTGCATCTAGTTATTATTTAAGGAAGATCTGAGTTGAAAAGAAAAAAATAAAACACAAAATATTTCAAAATTAATATGTACATTCTATTGTTTAGATTTTTTCGAAAATTGCTCTAAACGAAAACCATTATGATAATTACTTAAAATTTATTATTATTTGAGTTTATTTCATAGTAAAAATAAATATTTGTTAATATTTAATATGGTTTTTAGAAATTATGAAATAAAATTTCGTTTTATATTTCAAAATTTGTAATAAAAATATTATAACAAAACTGAATATTAAAATATGGGAGACTCACAAAAATGCCCCTTTTTTAATACCCCTTTTCAAAAATGCCCCCTTTGGCTGTCCATTTTTAAAAATACCCCTTTTTATGTACAAAATGACTAAATTACCCTTCTTTTAATAAAAGATATCACAAATATATAAGGAAATATAACAAAATTAGGTCTACAAAATACAAAATATTTTTTTGCGGGAAAAGTGATCCCACAATTTTTCCCGCCAAAACTCTTGTAAAAACTTGTAAAACCTTTAAAATACCTTGTAAAATTTTCCCGTAAAACGTTTTCCCGCCAAAAAATTTTCCCGCCAAAAATTTTTTTTTGCGGGAAAAGTGATTCCGCAATTTTTTTGGCGTTAATTTTTGGCGGGAAAATTTTTCCCGCCAAAAATTTACAAGGTATTTTAAAGGTTTTTTACAAGGTATTTATAAGGTTTTACAATGTATTTTAAAAGGTTTTACAACGTATTTACAAGGTATTTATAAGATATTATAAGATTTTACAAGCTATTTTATAAGGTTTTTACAAGTTATAAAAAAACCTTATAAAACCTTATAAGTACCTTGTAAAACCTTTTAAAATACATTGTAAAACCTTACAAAACACTTGTAAATACTCTGTAAAACCTTTAAAATACCTTGTAAATTTTTCCCGCCAAAAATTTTCCCGCCAAAAAAATTTCGCAAAAAGAAATTGCGGAATCACTTTTCCCGCAAAAAAATTTTTTTGGCGGGAAAATTTTTTGGCGGGAAAAATTTTTACGGGAAAATTTTACAAGGTTTTTTAAAGGTTTTTACAAGTGTTTTGGCGGGAAAATTGCGGGATCACTTTTCCCGCCAAAAAATATTTTGTATTTTGTGGACCTAATTTTGTTTCAAATAAGGGTAAAATGGTCATTAAAAATTAAAAGAGGGCAAACTTAAAAATGGACTCTCAAAAGGGTCATTTTTGAAAAGGGGTATTGAAAAAGGGGCATTTTTAACAATTTCTCTTAAAATATTTGCATTTAATTTTTTACCAAATTTCAAATTTAATCTTAAAATCCTCCATTGATAAATCTTTTTAAATGATAGTTTTTTTTTAATTTTGAATTAAAATGATATTATTTTTATTTGTATTTTTGATATAGAATAGTCTATTAGGATTGGTTTAGAAAAAATCTTAGTTTTTCAATTCCTATTGGTTAACAATTTTTAAAAAATTAATTTCAAATTTTCGTTTATAATTAATAAGAGAGAGAAAATTAGTTTATTTTTTTTTGGAAATTAATAAGTATTTAAAAGAATTAAACTATTTTTTATTTAAATATATTAATTTTGTGATTACTATTGTACCCTTAATGAAGTTATTTAAAAACACTAAAAACCAATGGCATTTTTTGTAATTCTTTACCCTTTATAAGGTTATTTATTATCCAATGCTTTCCAATTAATAATATAGATTATTATCTCAAACAAACATAATTTCAGAGGAAAAAAATATTTACAGCCATATTTACAAGATCAAAATTTAATTTGTCCTTAATAAAATGAAACTATCGTACAATTTATATTGATTAAAATTACTGTTATCCTTTACATCTTAATAAGTCATATAATACAAGATAATTAAAATCTGAGAATTATATTACCAATGCAAACAGATTGACATTTAACATATAAAAGCCAAATACATATATTCCAAATATCCATCTTACTATAGAAACCAGCTGTATGTTTACACATTATCAAACTTTTTAAAATTTAATAATTTTTAGTTATGTAGTATCAATTAGACGCTTAATATAAAGGGAAATAATTTTTATGTAACACATATGACCCGATTAAAACATAATATAATGGTTAATATCGGAAAACAACATTAAAAATAAAAATCCCAACCATCTTACAGAAATATATATATCACCACAAAAAACAATCAAAATAAAATACAACCAATTATTATTTTCTTATAAATAACAAATAATAAAAATATTCAACCCGCGGTGTACCGCGGGTAACATCCTAGTGAGAGTTCATTATCCGTTCGGATTTTATGATTTTTCGGTTCGGTTTTGGTTCAGATATATTCGGATTCGGATAATTTGGGTAGGAAAATTTGTTATCAGTTCGGATTTTATGAGTCATCGGTTTGGTTTCGGTTCGGATAGATGTCGGATTCGGATCGGTTTTCGGAAAAAAAAAACTAAAAAATTGTTCAATTTAAATAAAAATTAGATTGATCTTACTAAAATTTGGTTAAATTTTGTAAAAATATGTATAATTTTAACAAATATAACTTTTCTTTTTCGAATTCTAGGTTATTTAAGATATTTTTGTTATTTGCTATCAAATTACAACTAAATATAACTAATATTTTTGGAAAAAGTGTTATTATTTAAAAAAGTTGAGTTCGCCCTAATTTCTTTTCTCCCAGGCACGCTTTCCAAAGCCGTCGTTCAGCTTCTCCGATTACTTTTTCCTTCTTCCGGTTGCCGCTTTTCTCTCCCGTTCTTGTCTTCCTCCGAGTTCCTCCTCTGCTCGGTGTGCGTCGCGCCTTTCTCCGGTCTTTGGCCGTGAGCGAAGGCCGACGGAAGCTTACTTGTTCTCGCTGATTTCTCTTCGTGCTCTCCGTCTTTTTTTTTTCGTTTTTTCGTCTCCGTTTCTAGTGCTTCCTCAGTCTCAGTCTCGTGTGTTGAAGATCTAGATTCTCACCTCCGATTAGCTCTTTGCCATGGCAGCCACCGCTGCCTCAGCCACCGCCGGAGCTCTTCCACCGGAACAAACGGAGCCGCCAGATCGCCTTCCCTCCGTTGTCTCTCAGTCCTTGTCTTTAATTCTGGAGCTCATCCTCTTCGAGGACTAATCTCAATTGCTCCTCAGAGTCGAAGAATTAATCTACATACTCTCCTTTAATCCACATACTCTCCTCCTTTTAATGAAAGGACGAAACTACCCCTTTACTAGGTATACGTGGTACAACTGGTATCTTAGTTGTACCTCCTCCTAGTTGTACCACCTCCTAGTTGTACCAGCACCTAGTTGTACCACCTCCTAGTTGTACTAGACCTTAGTTGTACTAAACCTTAGTTGTACCAGACCTTAGTTGTACCACCTAGTTGTACCACCTAGTTGTACCAGTTACAACCCATATAAAAGGATTCGAACCCTGGAGGCGCGCGCGTGCGCATGGAGCTCGCAACCACTGAGCTATTGTATTTTTCGTTGAACACTTACCGATTTAATTGTATTTAAACTTTATCACCCGAAATCAACCCTCATTAAGGGTAATTTTGTCTTTCTACCATTGAGGAGTATTTGAGACAAAATTTGGAGCTTGAGGAGCCCCTGACAATTTGTTCCTCTTCAGAGCGATTGGCTCTCCCGTCTCGCTCTTCTCTACCGGATCTGGCCTCTCGTCGTCAGTGAGTCTTCCTCTCCTCCTTGCAAGGTCGTTCATTACCGTTAGATCTCTGTTTCCCGGTGGTTCTCCTTTTGCAGTTTGGGTTGTAGATCTTGAAGTTCGCTTCTGGCCAACCATTGCCACGACCACTTTTCTCATGACTGCTTGTTTATTCTCTGACACATCCATCTCTCCTCCTCACCCGATTCCCCAGGTTCACTCTTCCTCTCCACCTTCTGATTCTTCTACCTTGGAACGTCATCAGATTTTGGTGGAATTAGTGGCTCGGGTATTGTGGAATGCTGGTTTAGAACTTTCGTTGGCTCTTGTTGCCTTTGGTTCTACATTTGTGCTCTCTTGTGGCATTCATATCGCTTTAATGCGATCCTTTACTACAGTATGCAGATTTTGTTTTGATATCGCTATGTCAATGTTTGCTTTGATGGCGTTTTCTATCCTTTGTTGGCAACTTGGAAAGAGAACTCCTTTTATTTGCAACTTTCTAGTGAATATGGTTCATTTGGACTTCCATAGTCCTCATTTCTTCTTGAAGGAGTTTACTATCCTCCCAAATACTTCACTTTTGTTTAGTGGTATTGTTATAGGGAGCTTTGTGTTGAAGACCTTTTTATTTGGAGTTGAAGCGAGGATGTCAATCTTCCCTCATTTGGACTCAACGAGGTTAGTTATTGAAGTTGGTTTGCTCTTGGATTGGGATTTGACTCTCTCGGATCACTTTAATAGTGACTCCGTTTTACCTTGTATTGAGGTCCCTGTTAGACTTGTTCTAATATGGTATGTTACTAAGGGCTTTGTCCCGATCTCTAGCATTGGCAATTATGTTTTTGTCGATGTAATTTGGGAAGTGCAGTCTCTGTTTAGGGCTATGCTTCCTCATTTTGGCACCCATTGCCTCTTTGTTTTCCCAAAAGTCCCTCTTATTTGGAGTGGTTTGGACAATCAAGCGTTTCCGGTATTGCAAGGATCTTCCTCCCGGTTGTTAGCTTCCTCTGCCCTTGTTGCGGAGCTTGTAACCCTTTAGGTTACACTGGATGCAGTCTCTCATGAAGTCTTTTGGATCGTCATGTTTCCATCTCGCTTGGCTTCTTTTGTAAAGCTGTGTCTTGCATTTATCCTTAGTGTATCTTCTTGTGGAGTATTTCTAGGCACTTCTTGCCTTGTTATCTTGTATTTCCCTTTTTTTGGGTTGTAATTCCTCCTCTTCTGAGTGAGTTTGAGACTTAATTTCAATCAAAATTATCAGTTTGACCAAAAAAAAAAAATAACTAATATTTTTGGGTGTTTGACCTGTCATGTTTTATTATGGTAAGTGTTATTTATATTTTAATTATTTTATACTTTTTTTAAGGATAATAAAAACCCCTCAACTAAAGATAAATCGTAAGAAAACCCCTCAATTATATATTTAGTAGAAAAAAACCCTCAACTAGGGCTAAGCATAAAAACCGATCCGAAAAATCCGGAACCGAATCCGAACTGAATAGTCACAAACCTGAATGGATAATGAATTCTCCTATTCGAATTATCCGAACCGAACCGAAAACCGAAAAGATATCCGAAAACTGGAAATAAAATTATATATCCAAAAATATAATTGGTGTGACTGGTGGGAGGATGTACATTTTACCAGATGAAAGAGACAGGGATCGAGTTGGGCTTATGGCCGTTTTGGTAAAAAGGGCCATTTGGGCTTTACGTTTATCCCTGAAATAAAATTCAACTTTGTACCCACTGATAAGTTTGGATACATACGTAAATCAGAAAGACCTTTATTGGTAAGAAGCTAAAGTTTGGTTTATGATGATATTTAGTGACTCGAGTGTTATTTCATTCCAGATGTTATCGGTGTTGTTCAAATTGTTTCTCCTAACAATAGCATTAGACGGAGGAATGACAATGAGTTGATCCCAAAGAGGGATATAACTGTAGCCGATGAGACAAAGAAAACTGTTGTGGTGTCCCTTTGGAATGATCTACCAACTGGCATAGGCCAAGAACTGCTAGACATGGCTGATAAAGTGATAATCACCCTGTTATAGCGATTAAGTCTCTCAAAGCTGGAGATTTTCAAGGTACATTTTGACTTTTATACTAAATTGGCACTTTGTTTAACTTGGCGCTGATGTAAACCTATTTTGCTAGTGTGTTTCATTGTCTACGATCAGTAGAAGCAATGTGGGGACAAATCCTGATTCTACAGAAGCTACAAAGCTTGTTAGTGATAATTGAGTTTAGTCTTATGTTATTCTATATAACATATCATACGTTTCTTGTAAAGTCAATCGGTATGTGTTAACCGTGACTTGTTACGAAAGGGTGTGTGTAAGAGTTGTGACTTGTTGGATAAGACACAACCGTTACAACAGTTATCTACGGTTTTGTTATGTAGAAAACTATATAAGTGCAAGTGTTGTCCTAATGTAAAGTTGTCGAGTAAATAAAACAAGTTTCAGATTCAATAAAGAGTTATTTTTGTTCTTGTCTTCTTTACAAGAGAAGAGACAAATGTCTCTTGCACTGTTTTTCTTCTTTCTCTCAATATTCCAACAAAGCTGACATCTTGGTATGATTCTGAAGGTAAAGAGACATCTATGTCCGCCATGAACTCTGGGATGAGTTCTTCTGCCAATAATTGATCAAGATCCATGTATTCTGACAGAGTTTCCCTTTCTCACATCAATACCAACCCATCTTTAGGCGAGGACATAATTAGTTACATCTTAAGATCTGGGAGACAGAAAAGTTGAGGACATAATTAGCTGCATAGTTGATGAACCCAATAAACTAAAATCAGAGGTAAGAAATCTGAAACCATTTGAAACCTTTAATAACACATTCCTGAATTTCCAGGTTCTGCTGTAAGATGCGATGTTTTGTTGGTTTTCTCTAGGAAGGTGGAGTGAATGAGTTTCAGACAAAGATGAAAGAAGTTATTTGGTCACCTCATCTCTTCCGGATCAGTGTTTCTCAGCAAGAGTATAACAGGGAGAAGAGACAGACGACTACTGTAAGAGGTGTTTCTCCAATTGACTTTACTGCTGAAACAAGATTATTGCTCCAAGACATCTCCAAGAACAAGACATCTTGGTAATTCTAACCTTTAGCATGTTTTGTCTGGCTTTTGTTGACCTAAAGAGTCCCAAAGTTTGTAAGTTTTTCTGCAGTCCGTTTTATTAGTTCATTTCATTAGAGAATTGACTTGTAAATCTTTGTAAGTGTTCCAACAATAAATTCAGAGAGCCAGCCATTTGGAAAAAGTAGAAGCAATTTATTATACAATTGAAGAAAATTGAAAGCTCCAAGGTTTCTACAAAATTTCCTAACAGAAAATAAACTAGCTTAATAATGCAAAGAAATAAACCAAATTCCAACTGGAGAGTCACTGTTACTTAGGCAAAGGTGACCTCAATTTCTGGTAGTTGTGTAGACTTCGGGTGAACAAACCATCAATTCTGATCTTATTGATGAGCCAATAATCATACTCTAGATATGCGCCTTGATTAAACTCTAAATGCAGAAACTGGTATGCTGAACCTAGCAAAAAACATTATTCAACGTGAAGTTTAATGCAACAAATCAATGATGATAGGCAACTAGAGAGTAGAGACGGAAGTTTAAGTCCTACACACAGACCTGAAGATTACGCGAATGTGCTCTTGCAACAAAAACTGTTGGTGTCATGAGACAGTTATTGTTCACAGGAACAATTGTGTCTTTCCATTGACCAATCTCAGGTACATATAGTTTAATGTAATCTAAATATGCGTCTGATGTAATCTCCGCGTATGTCTGCATTCACATTCATTTATATTATATATAATCATATTTTTGATTGTATATGTAATATACACCTTCCCCCTTATTGGTGTCATTGCCAAGATCCAAGAACCCTACATGTTTTTGATAAGTGAGATAGGCTATTAGAAAAAGCAACAACATTATCTTATTTTCTTGAAATAGGCCTTTTTTGGGGGTGGACAGTTCAATTATACTTATTGAGGAGATTCTCTTTTATGCTAAACCATCCAAATTGCTCCATTTATAACTAAATCATTGAAATGTCAGTGCCTCACTTTGATTCAAATTCCATTTTACCATCATCATGTCAGGTATGTCAAAACCTAACTCATTCATAATAATTAATTGAACAAGAAACAACCAATCACTACAAAGTACAAACTAATTTGATATAGAAAAGAAAACACACGAATTTATATCATTTTTAGCATACTTTAAAATCTTATTACAAAGATGAAACCATACGAAATGAAAACATACAATATACACATTTTTTTTCTTTGAAATGCTAAATAAACAATAAACTTTACACACCAACTTTCTGTTGTTCATCATGGTCCATAATCATCAATATGTAGACTTGAATGGCTTGTAGACCTTAAGATCAAGCATCACTCCGGCGATTGATCCAACTCCGGCGACCACCGAGATCACAAGACAAGCAACACTAAGCATCTGTAAACACACCCATCTCGTGCTCCATTTCTCAACTTTCCTCTGCTTAATATACATCTCCACCGGAAAATAAACCGTCAAGGGCCAAAACCCTAACGCCCCTAAGATCCCGACCACATCGTTGAAAAACGGCATCAGCATTGATATCACAGTGGTTGTAACGACAAAGCCACTCCGGTAGACTACCCTGAAAACGTTTGCTTTGTATGGAGACTTAAATCCGGGGATTTTGATTTCAAATTCCTTGCTGAGGAAGTCATTGTCTGGATATCTCTCTGCGACTGATTTTTCAATAAAGGCGAAGATGGGCTGAGCAAAGACTTGGTAAGCTCCGATGAGGTGGACGACAATGGCGGCGTTAGCAATGTCAAGGAGCCAAAACGGGTTGTAGAATCCAAAACCCGTGAGGAGGTTTCCCGGTGCTGCATCTCCAAAAGCGGCATAACCCATTGAGCCACATAGCATGTAGAAGATAGTCGTGACAGCAATGCTAATTTTTGTGGCTTTCTTCATCGTTTTCGATTCCGCTGGTGGGGATCTTACAGTATCCTAAATACACAGAGCAAAAAAAAAACAAAAAGTTAATCGAAAAGCTGAATCTTGTGTGCAAAGAAATGTTCCTTTTTTAACCTCAAAGTTGAATTCTTTTTATGTATGGTTTTTACAAAAATTTGAATCTTTTATTTACCTGAATCTCGATTAGGACAACAGAGTATGAGTAAGCAAAGGCAATGTCTCCAAGTGCTTGGAAGGTTCTCCATATTTTTTGTGTTTGAGTCACTGTTCCGATGCTTATTCCAGTGAGACTTCCTTTGAAAACTCCATTTGCTGAGAGAATTTACATCAAGATTTAGCATTTTTTGCAATTCTCGTAAAGATTATAAGAGTATTTTGTAGTTATTTTTCACCTGCAACTTGAACGATTCCAAGAGCTAGACCAATGGCAGAGTAAGTGAAAGACATTACAGCTGCAACAATGGAGATCCACCAAATCTGATCGAAATCAGGAACCTGAGAGAGCAAGATCTCTGCCACACCAAATGCGATCATGTAAGGATTGCTCGACATGTGACATGGGTCTTTTCCTCCACTCTTGTGGAAGCAGTTCGATCTCTTGATCGCCCTGCATGATCCATTCAAGTTACTCAAATTTTCAAAATCTCCTCTTCGTTTCGTTAATTGTGTGAAGAATGTTTGAAAAAGAAACAAAGAAAAGAACTCACATCATGCTTATAGATGCTGCGATTGTGTATCCGATCGCGATACCAAAGAGATTCAAGTATTGAATTAGCCCACAAATCTTGAACTTGAACCCACCTACAAGAAAACAGAGCATTTCAATACTCAAAACAAAAAGCAGAGCCAAAAACAGAGCAGAACAGAGTGAGAAAACAGAGCAAGGGTACCGAGAATTGATCGAACGGCATCCATGTAAGTGTAGTTTCTCTTGCCAGACACTGCATCGCCGGTTCTGTAGCAATCGCTAAGAAGTGTGGAGGAGTAAAGAGTAACAAAAGAGAACAATAGCATCACCGCAGGGCCAGCGATCCATCCGAGCTGTGCAATTGCCCACGCCAATGACAAAACGCCGGATCCGATCACTGCAGTTATTATATGAGCGCTCGCGGTCCAAACGGTCCCTGAAAAAAACCACGTTTTTGTTTTGCGTTTCAGCATTTATGTTTATAAAACAATGAAAGAAACATAAGTTTGACATGTATATTTGTTATGTTTAAGTCGTGACCGGTTCTTTTGAGGCGGCCATCATCGTCGAAGCATTTAAAAGCTGGTTGTGGAGGGACGACATCGTGGCTGGCCACGTCAAAGACTTGGTGGCCGTGATGGTGGTGGTGACGGTGGTTATTGGCGGCAGCGGTTTCACCCATCTGCGAAATTAGTAAGAAACCAAAATTTGTTTTACTTGTTTATTACGAGAAGTATATTTGGACCGTGGCAGAGCGAATTACAAGATTTTATGACTTTTACAACTTGGTTAAAAGATATAATTCAGTTTTAGATTTTTTTAAAAAGCCAAAATTCTATTTTAAAACTTTTTGTTTCATTCAAATTCAAATGGATGTTTTACAATTTTCTATGCAACTCTAGATATACATGACATGGTAGAAATTTCATTAACAGTGTGTGAAATTACACTAAATATAATTTAATGAAAGAGTGAGAGTATTTGATTGAAATCAGAATCATTTGAATGGAAACTAGTAAAGATATCCATACTAGTTTCATATTATTATTCTCTTAAAGCCGAAAAACCGAAACGAGATTAAACATCTCTTAGTTTATTTTTGAATTTGAAACGGATTTTAAATTTTAATGTTAAAATACAAGTAAAAATAGAGAGAAATGTAGTAATAGTACCTCCTCTTATTGAGCCTTAAGAGAAATAAGACTACTATTACAAAGCTATGAACAAAAAGAAGAAGAGCAAAATAGAACTAAGGAGATGGGTGATGATAGTATTTGCTGCTGCATTTTGATTTGTGTTTGCTCACCTTCTTATATAAGCCCTGAAAAGTGAGGAATATAAACTAATTAACAAAAAATATAGAAATATTTTTGTATGACAATTATGACAATATTTGTTTGTTAGGTATTTTCATTTTTTCTCCACCATCATTAGTGAGAGATGAATAAAAATAAAATAAGGAAGAATCAAATGCTTGTTTCTCCTCCGTACCTTTTGGTTCGACTTAATCACTGAGATATTGGTATAGTATTTATAATTATAAAAATGTTTTAGAACCCATTATTTCTTCAAGTATTTTATAGATGTACAATTTAACAAGGTTACACCAAGTTTAGATATATATAATTAGAAAGAATTTATGCTGCCTAAGTGCTTAAACATAATAATTATATATGTAGAATGTTCATCATGGTGTTCCTCCTGTCCTCCATATAATGTGGAATTCATTGCAAATGCCACGCGTAGTGTTTTGTTCGAAAGTGAAACGAAAAGAAGAAAGATAAATTATGAAAAATTTAGTAGTTTCAAGAATGATACATTTATATATTCATGTACCTTAATATGAATATGAACAAGTATTAGGGATTCAATGGCACAGAACTTTGGGAAAATGTCAGATGAACTGGGAAAAGCGTGAGTTGATGTAATTTTATTTTCCAATACAAAAGAAGCAAATAGCAAAAAGGACCATGGAGCAGGAGTTAGTGTAGGGACTATTAACTTCAAGGTCATTGCATGACATATGCGTTAGAAACCAGAAAGCTTCAGAGATTTAGGGGATTTTTAATTATTTCTTTAATGTGCATGTGCAGTTTGTTTTATCTCTGCTTGAACAAGCATTTGCTTGATTGATTTCATTAATACTATTTATTTCTTGAGCTAAAACCTCATGCTCACGTCTCTCTCTCTCTCTTATCTTGTTGTTTACTTTGTGTCTGCAAAAAACAAGAAGAAAGAGTTGTATTGTAATGCTTAATTACGTTGTTTACACTTGTATGGAAAAGACTATCGATCGCTTTGCATATCATAAATAAACACAGACATGCAACCATTTATCAATTACATGTGCTAATGGACCCAATCCCGTGTGCTTTTTTTCCTTTTTTTTTTTTTTGGCCATTAATATTTTCGGACCTCTCTCTAAAATTAGGGCTTTTTTGGTACTATTAAAAGTTCTCTATCTTGT